TGGAAAAAAAACAAGTCCAGTCGAACAAATAATCAACAGCGAATTTGACAAGACAACATTGCCTCTCTGAATAAGACTATAAAATTCAGTAACACGAAACTTTTCTATCAACTAGAAGACTACTGAATTTCATCACGATTGTAATTAATTTACTATAACAAAGTTAAGGGAAAACCGTAGCGAAGAAATAAAAAGAACGATCACAACTTTAAAAATCTAACACAAGAGAAAGAATTAGTCTAAATAGACCTATAGACTATCGTGTTCATCACGGCGACGGAGAAAACATGACCATGAAGGCACATTTGGAGACGAGTTATCTTAGTCTGCCACGTCACTTATCTGATCAGATCTCGTAGCTCCTCAGCGTCTCAGAGTGGAGTAATACGCCACCGTACTTTACTGCACGGTTACACAGGAATGAATCAGCTTCTCCGGATGCCGAAAAGGAAACTCTCTCTGCCGTACTTCCCAGTACGACCACACATGAACGAATCAGCTTCTAGTATTAATCAAGGACTGTCGCCTCACTTCACCGGAACGAATCAGCTTCAGGTGCGGATCCAGGAAACTCAAGTCACTATTGAGGGACTCCGGCACCCGTGTCGTCCGCACATTCAACACCGTAATTCAGCATACGTAAAACGTTTACTGGGTCGTGGCAGTTGGAACCACACTATCAAACGTAGACACTTGTTGGATCTTCAGAAAATCCTGAAAAACGTAAAGTAACAGACATGAGCGAACCGTACTCAACGTACCTATTTAATCAAGGTCCTTACTTCCTCCAAATGCTCAGATATATTTTAGGTTATTCCAAACCATGAAGGTTGGTTACCTCAATCCTAGAATCCTTTTTGTTTCCTAGAGTGAGCACTAGATCATTAACTCGAAGAGTTCCGGGATTCAGTTCTGTGGCAAAGGTTAGACAGATCCCCATTATTTACCGTTCCTTCTAACGTAGAAAATAAGGGATCGGCGATGAAGTCAAAACCAAGACCTACTGAAATATGTTATGAAAACAATACGACAGTCGAAGCTTGTTGTGGTTACGAAATCACCTAGCAACAGCGGACATGACGTCATGTCTGCCCATAAGCTTCTTGTCGTTCAAAACCATTCAGAGACTTACCAAGTTCTGATACCGAATACTAGCAAATAATTAACGATACAAAGTTATCAATACTACAAACCCACTCCAGATATGTAGATTGATTGAATTGAAAAGGTTTAAAAGGCCATTTCAAAGCATTCTGCGAGAAATGTCAACCGAAAGTGCATTCCGATCTGGAGCTCCTTTCGCCACCTTCCTTGGCAAGAATCGTAGGAAAACAGATTCGCATTATCCAGCTGCTGACCTTACTTACCTACATCACAGACACTATGAACTCAAATATTCAATTAAAAAGTCCTTAAGAAAACTCACCCATTGTAAATAAAAAAAGAGAACAAGGAATCTTGTCTGTATAACGGTCAATTGGCGAGACACAAGGAAAAACGCCTGCCTCCAAGACCGGACTGTAGAGAGTGACGCACACAAACACGTCCCCTAACAACAGCAGTTAGCGTACGAATCGCGCTCACTAATGCAGTGCAGTGGTCAGACAATTTATTTAGAATAGGCGTAGAAAAGGCGTCCTAACATTTAATTCGACACTCAAAGCCTAAAAGAGTCATTATCAAAGGGTTTTCTATATGGATTTTTCCTATATATGGATTTTTCCTATCAGGACTCCCCCACAACAAACGAACTATCTAACTATGCTTGGCCTATTCTATTACATAGTTACGATGACGAGTTTTTTCAGGGTGGTCAGCTATATGGACCTTCCTGCTGTGGCAGATGTGTGGGTATGCAATTGTGTCGGCCCATTACCTTCTAGACAACTTCAGAGGGTGGGCCGACCTGGTTCATGACTCTCAGGCCTTGATCTTCTCCAGCTGCAGTTTACCTGATGTTCTCGAGCAGGAACAAGCGAAAATGGTGACTATGCAACGGGTACTGTGAGATTGGAAGTTAGATGTATGTATTGTCGCTGCGGTAGCCCCTTAGATAAACCGGCCAATTTAATGACCTAGTGACAAGTTTACGGTTATTTCTGTGCAGTTGGCAGAGGTACACTAGCAGACATTTCGGACACGCTGGCATTTTAGGAATAAGAACGTCTTTTCCACTAGAGATCCGGACCAAACTATCGAGGCCCGTCCCCCACGACATTCCGTTGCGTCCAGAGCCAGCTCGAAGCCCTTTCAGCAGCTTCGTCCAGTAGTTTTAGTGAACGTTTCCTCGTTTCCTTTAGCACATTGCACATGAAAGTGGAGATAAGACCTCTTGCACCTACCTCGACGGCGAAAATTTAAAATGCGCACGTTTCGTCTCTCCTCAGACTGGCCGCGAGATCACTGTATTAACATTGAATGTTTAACTAGAATGTGTCCAATCAGCACTGCTCTATCGAACGGGAAAATGTATAACAACTAAAACAGTTACGAATGAACTGCATATCTTCACAAACTTGTGCCTGAGCAGAAAATAGGGAATTGAATTTTGTGATAGAATCACTGATGTTGAGCTTTGTGAGAGAACTAAATAAATGATAGTAAATCAGGACGGGGGAAAAAGATGCAGGTTTCGTTACAGGACACATGTTTAGAATAGTCGAGAAAAAACATATCAAAAAGGGCTTTTAACTGGAATCCACAAGGGTATAGCAATAAAGGTAGAAATGTATACATATATAAAAGTATATATTTGTATATATTCATTTGTATATAAAAATATGAATTTTTTAGACAATATATATTTTTTTTTTTTTGGGGGGGGGGGAGGGGGGAGTCACCGTGGTGTAGCGGCTAGACACTCGCCTCCGGGTCGGAAAGTCGTGGGTTAGAGACCTGACGGAGCAGGAGCTTTTTTTGTTTTCTTTCAATAAACACTTGACTCCAAGGTCGACCCAGCCTCAAATTGGTAGCAGGTACTGTCCTGTGTCAGTAAGGGTGGCCACACCAATACACTGCTATCTACAACGAGGACAGGTTGTTTCAGAGGTCAGTTTATGGGTAAAAATAATAATCGCAGATAGATCAACAGCTCCAACATTTGTCTGCTGATACTGTGATCACGGACGCAAGAACCGGAGGGCAAAAGCACCCTGCCTCCCACCATAAAAAAGAAGAGAGTAGAGAGCTGCCGTTCCCAACCAACATCACATAGAACACATTCCTCAGGGATAAGTGCTGAAGTTCCCAACCCCCTCCCCCCACCCCCCCCCCCCCCCCCCCCCCCCATCACCACTTAGAAAAACACTTTATTCAGGGTAGAATGCTGAGGTTCCCAACCCGCTTCTCACCCCCTTTTTTTAATCAGCTCCCCCACCCCACCCCAACCATTACCACATAAGAGAACACTTTATTCTGGGTAGAAGGCTGAGGTTCCCAACCTGCCCCCTCCCCTCCCTTTCCCCCCAACCATCACTATATAAAAGAAAACATTATTAAGGGAGGGGGGCTGAGGTTCCCAACCTGCTCCCCCCCTCCCCTCCCTTTTCCCCCAACCATCACCATATAAAAGAACACATTATTCAGAGAAGAGAGCTAAGGTTCCCCCCCCCCCCAAACACACACACACACCACCGCCATCACATAAAAGAACACACATTATTCAGGGTCCTCCTCTTTACCATCAGCTCTAAACCTTTGTAAGGGAGATAACATCACTTCCAACAAACCAAACACAGATGTTCTCTTTGAATTATTTGTTTATACATGGTATACTTTTTCGAAAAAAATTAATATATTTTTTTAGTAAGTACATAATAATAATAATAATAATAATAATAATAATAATAATAATAATAATAATAATAATAATAATAATAATACAAATATTATTATCATCATCAATGCGGCGTCCGTGGTTAAGGCGTTGCTAGTCCGACTCGTAATGCCATTGCAACGCGTTATCCGGCTATTACTGCTTTTCGTCCTTCTTAGGACGTTATTTTTTGTTATTTGAAGCTCCACTCTGGCTTTTGCCAGGGGCCGCAATATAGGCAGGTCATCATTATGGCCAAATGTCTGAACGCGGTTTCTGGGACCTCTCCACGGTGATCCTCATCCGCATGGTGGCACTTTGTGTCATCGGGTGTTTATCGCTTGTGTGATGTCCTGGTGGGGTAAAAAATCCAATCCAATCCAATTGCAACGCGACCGACACTAATTGCTGGCTGTGGGGATTTTTATCATGGTATGGGGTGTCGTATGTCGACACAGCCTAAAATGGGTACCAGGATGGCTGTCCTGAGGAAGCAAAGACGGCCGACGTAATGCTGACCATATTACCCATCCAGTGCCGATTGGTCTGCAAAAATATGGGATGCTCTGCCTATATGCCCAATGCGCCTAGAGGCGTGAAAAGAGATCCTTACTTACTTTACTATCGTCATCAGGAGTCGTTGAAGCGTTGGTGGGTCCAAGCCCGCCTGCGGATCGGAAGGTAGGGTGTTCGCGTACTGACGGAGCAGGACCTCGACTGCCAGGTGGACCCAGCCTTGATTGGGTACCAGGTGCCGTCCTGAGGAAATATAGGCGGCTGGTGTCATTCTGGCTACATAACCCACCAATTACCGATTTATTTTTTAAAACATAGGTCTAGTCTCATATTCCTAATACGACTAAAAGCGTGGAAAAGGGACTTTTACTTTATCATCATCATATTCATATTCTCTTATTATTACTACGCACTGAAACAAGACTCAAGATTTTTTAGGAGTCTTAAGAAAACTTGTAAAGTTACTAATTACCCAGCCTGTCTCCCCTCCCGTCCACAGTTTTTGTTTTGTTTAAAAGTTTACGGCTTTCATTGGTCTTGGGGAGGACTGCCTCCGTGCCCTCCCCCCCCCCCCCCCCTCCTTTTTTTTTTTTTTTTTTTATTATTCCGAGATATTCTTTGAATTCTTCTGAAAAACCGTAGTTTCTTTCAATGTTTTATTAACAATTAGCCCACAAAGTTGACTACCGTAATGTGACACGAGAAAACATCAACACATATCTGGGCCTGACCTTAGACTGGAACTCTCCGGAGTTTGCCAGGCGGGAGCTAGTGCCTAAAATGGAAAGAATGCCTTTTACTGTGAGTTTTTACTTCTTGATTGATTGACGCTTTGCTTGACTGAATCAGTGATTTAATTATTATATATAATTAACATTACCAAACAATATAATTAACATTACCGAACATTGACCGCCAACTCTTGGCATTCATCGAGTCTGAACATGCCTATGTTTAAATAGTTTTGAGAGCATCATTTGCCCAGTGCATATCATGGTAAAAGCACGGATCATATTCTGCAGTTATTTGTTTTGTAAGAAAAATGAACATAGCAGACAACCGGGCTAAAATTGGGAGGAATAAAAAAAAAATCAAATTCAGGGTACAATTGTCAGAACAATAAAGCCTAGACTAAGGCAGTCATAGGAATTGAATGGAATAATTCCAATACAGAATAGAATCATTAAGACCCAGTCCACCTCCTCACACGAAAGAAACATACTATTATATTTACCGTCTAGAGGTGACAGGTTCAATTCCCGGCACGGTATCTATAGCTTTTATATTGTCTATTGTGTTCTTCTATCTTTCTACTTCTTTCTATTTTATGTTGTCTATTGTGTTCTTCTATCTTTCTACTTCTTTCTATGAGTGCCGATCAATACACTTTCTGTTACTTGATTAATTCATAATATTATATTTATACTGCGAAGTGGGCTTGGCAGTCATATGAACGGAAGATTCGAGTTTAGGGACAGGAAACTGAGCAAATTGACAGGCACCTAAATATATTCCCCATGTGCTCAAGATATGCTCTTTACATACAGTCTAGAGATCAACTATTTGACCAGTTAGTTAGCCATTTAACAGAACCGAGCTGATTTGATCAGCTATGTGCATGTGTCGTATTGGTATTTATGTACCTTCTGGTATAAGTAAAAGAATCAGGAACTGATTAAGTAGGTATACCGAGGTACCATGGTATTTCAGTTTGAAGAGGAATGATACTGTTAAAAATCCATTTCTTTTCTCTTGACCCACTGCACAATGTATTTCATGGCAGCACAGAATTTGAATACTGTCAACTGTATTGTTGCACCGTCTACTTTTTCAGCATACAGCTCAACACTGAAGCTCTAGATTAAACATATGATCCTTTTGTTTACTCAATAGGGTTGTTACATTTGTTGACTCCACGTGATCTTACATATTTTACATTTAATGATTATTTCTCAAGTCTTCTTCTCAGCGTTCACCTGCTGTAAACCCTAGCGGGAAAAAAGCTGGTTGTTTAGTCTATTTCAAGAACTTGAAGTATGCGTGCACATCGGTTTCACAGATATAGCTTATCTGCAAGAAGATTGTTGATTCCTAGCCTCACAGCCAGATGCAATGCGGCTTCGACGAAACTACCCTAATAAGTCGCTTTACGACATGCTTTGGTTTTATTTTCTATGGGGGGAAAAAGTGTGTGTGGGGGTGGGGGGGGGGGTATATTAGTACACAAACTTTCAATGAAAAAATCTCCGAAATATGTGTTTGACAGAAAACAGCATGATTACAGGTGCAACTTGTATACACACATTGCAGCCATTGGTGTTATTATGTGTTCATGTGTCAACAGGTGAAGGATTATCTTTTCATGCACGCCCTGATACTTCCTGAGCGTGAGCAGTTTGTGGAGATTTTCCTTAACATGGGTTTCCAGTTGCGCCGCTTCCTGACGGAAAGCAATATGTTGTATATATACGAAGAGAGTCTGAACAATGACTTCTTTGTTCATGTTTGCCTGGAGCGCATCTTGCACCGTTCAACAGTACGTCTGTCTGGTAGTTGTTGTGTTTTTTTGTTTTTTGTTGTTGTGGTTGTTGGTGTATTTATATTATGATTGACACCTTTCCGTCTTTGTTATTTAGAGCGGTAAAAGATGCAGAGGTCGACCGCGCAGAATATTGACCGCAGAAATATGAGAGACACTGAAATGTACTTTACACGATGCGAACAGAAGGGCCCGTTCCATAGAAATCTTCCTGTCCTGACACCGCGAGAGATTCCAGGAGTTGAGAAAAGAAGAAGAAGAAGAAGAAGTCGTATATTGCGCTATGAGGAGGCATGAGACTCACAGCCCATGGCGATGGCGAGTGTGCCTAGCAAGAGCCGCCAGCGTTATGAAAAATTCATAACACATATAGCAAGGGATTTCAGGACCATTGTTTTCAACATTTGTGTGTGTGTTTTTTTTTTTCTCAGATGCTCAGCTCTCATCTATTCTGCAATTATTGTTTCCTACATTATTATTTCTTTTCTGATGTGCGCCTTCCACACAACACGGTCCTTGACATTTTGTTTCCTTTTCTTCACCTCAGTACCTATATCCTTCATGTCTTACTTGCACACAAATTTATTTCGTAGTAGAGATCGACCTCGACATATTCTACCCATCCTTACTTCACCACAGAGAATGTCATTAGGGATTCTGCCATCCTCCGTTCTTCAGGTGTGATCCAGCCACCTGACCCTTTGTATACTGAGCATTGAGAAAACTGTTGTAATACCTGCTCGTATTTATATACGTGTGCACATATGACTACGCTCACGTACGAAGTGTGCATTCGCCCTGTTCTGTATACTGTCAATTTATTTCCCGTGCATTATTTGCATATACCTTTGGGAATTATCTCCACCTTAGTACTTCTCAATAGCTCTGAAATAAATGCCTGCGGTAGGCCGGTTGATCAAAGGATATAAAACACACAGATAGATCGCCTAGGACCGATACCGGCACAAGTGTAAAACTTGATCTCGCCACGAAACTTCTTCTTCTTCTTTCGTTCGCATGAAATAAATTGTCTATATCTGCAAAGCTGTCTCTAGTATGAATTTCACTGTCTTTTGTAATTCACTAAGCGGCCCGTAAAGTTTGACTTCCACAAGTGTCTCTTTTGGCCAAAGGTTTTGCCTGAAAGCGTTGAATCTGGGACAGTCTTGAAGGATGTGATCTGTTGTTTCAGGTGCCAGTCCACAAGTACACATGGCTGATTGGCCAATCTTAAATTTGTTGTACATGTGGGAGCGAAGTCGATTGTGCCCTGTTCTAAGGCGAAGGATAATGACTTGCTCTGGTCTGTCCATAATATGGTAATCATCTTGTGCCAGTTTCGGTGGCATTCTGATTGATTTGATCATTCTCTTCTTCTGTTGATAAGAGACTGGTATGTTAGGTTGTTCTTCAGTTGCACCTTCCTTAGCTAGTTTATCAGCTTTTTCGTTTCCGGGAACTCCACAGTGGGAAGGTATCCACTGCATTACTAATTTACAGCGGTTACCTAGTTCGGATAATAGTGTCCGTATGCTTGGTAATTTTCCAGACTGGAGTGACTGAAGTACTGCTTTTGCATCTGTCAGGAATACCACTGGTTGTGAAAAATACCCTGTATTTAGTAGTTTCTCTATCGCTATCTTGATGGCTTGAACTTCTGCATCATAGTTGTGACAGTGCTTTCCCGTTGGTAATTTGGCTGTATCCCTGGTATTATTAGGATACTCAATGTACACTCCCGCACCTCCGTTTCTGACTGCGCTTTCTGCTGACCCATCTTTTGTAAACACGGACCCAAAGGTTCTGCGGGTATTCATCATCAAGTAGACTGAGGGTGGCTGTTTTGCGCTGCACACTGTTTTGTTCTTCCTTGTCAAATACCCCTTTCACTTCAGTCTTGATGTGTATTGGAAACTTATACTCCTCTCTCCAGGGGGTCCGTTCTGGGACAGCATTTAAGGATCTATCAGTTGCAGGTAAATCAGTGATTTGTATGCCGAGCCGTTTGGCCTCGTGGATAAAACTACTTCTCTTTAGTCGTCCCAAAGCTAAATTTTGGAATCTTTCATTCATAGGGTGACTGGGCATACTAAGAAACTTTTCTGCTTGTAAAAGCATCTTGGTGTCTCTGCGTTCACTCAGTGCTTGGGTCATCCCCATTTTCTCCATCACAGCTATAGGTGTTGATTTCATACTGCCTGTGGTAACTCTGAGTGCTTGATTTTGCACTTTGTCTAATACTTGCAATGTGGTTTTTGATGCCGAGCTCCATGCTGTTGATCCGTATTCAAGATGTGGTCGAACACTTTGTTGGTAAACTTTTCTAAGTATTTTCCCGCTAGCACCCCATGTGGTTCCACTTAGTTTTCTCAGAATGGCTACCCTCCTTCTGGCTTTGGTTGCTGCCTTGTTGATGTGTTTTCTCCATGTTAATCTATCATCAAACGTTACGCCGAGGTATGTGGGCTCCTTATCCTCTCTCAGGGGTACTCCATTTATATGCATGACACCTGATTTTTGTTTAGGAGAAAGGGTAAAGAGGGTGGTGCTGCATTTGCCTATGTTGATGCTGACACACCATTTGTTGGCCCAATCAGCCATTGCATCTATGGCTCTTTGTAGCAGCCTGGTGGCCACTGTCGCATTTTCATTTGTACACCAGAGTACCAAGTCATCAGCATACATTGCAGCTTTAATTCCATGGGGTAGTTCAGAAAGCAGGTCGTTGATATAGACTAGGAAGAGTGTGGGGGACAGAACACCTCCTTGTGGGACGCCATGGCGCAGCAAAACTTTCTTACTCTTAAGTCCATCTATCTGTACTCGGGATCTTCTGTTATACAAGTATGCTTTCACCCATTTGTACATTCTCCCATTCACCCTGCAGTCTCTCAGTTTCTTCAGTAGACCTTCTTTCCAGACCTTGTCAAAGGCTTTCTTCAGATCTATCCATGCCGTTAGCACTAGCTTCTTTTCCTGGAAGGCATCCTCAATTTCTTGTGAAAGGTAAGTTGTCTGGTCTTCTGTGGAGTAGCACTGTCTAAATCCTGCCTGCTGCGGCGTGAAAATGTTTTCACTTTCCAAGTACCATTGGAGTCTACGGTTGACAATACGTTCCATTGTTTTACAGAGGCAGCTGGTGAGACTGATCGGTCTATAGCTGGAGGCATCAGAACTGTCCTTTCCTGGTTTAAGCAGAGGTATTGTGATTGCTTTTCTCCATATTTGAGGAACTTTGCCACTGGTCCAACAATGATTAAAGATCTGTAGCAGCTTTTTTTTTTTGGCAGTTGTTCCAAGGTTCTTGATCATTTCGTTGGTGATACCATCAATTCCAGGTGATTTTCCCATTCTCAGCTTTGATATTGCTAACTCTAACTCGCTGGATGTAAATGCTGCCACCAGTGCCTCAGGAATTATATCTTTTTGTCTTATATGTTGTTTGTTTTCTTGAACCTCTCGCTGTTTCTCTGGGCTGACATTAATGTTGCTGTCTTCTGCAAAGGAATCTGCAAAGTGGTCAGCTGCCTGTTTTCTTGTTAGGATGGCTCCCTCTTTGCATAGTGCAATATTACCATTTCTTCCTGTATTCTCATCATTAATTTGCTTAATTAACCTCCACAACTTCCTTGTGTCTCTTTCAAAGTTTAGAGACTTTTTCTTTTCTTGCCAGCTTGCCCGTCTAGCCTGCAGTTTGGCTCTTTGAAATTTGGCCTTTGAATGTTGGTAGTTGTTAAACTGCTCTTGACAAGGTCTGGTCTCAGCTTGTTTTCTTTCTGTTTCCATATTGTTGTGCAGTTGCTCCAGATCGCAATTCCAGTACGGTTTGTATTGTTTACGCGCACCTCTTGGAACTGCTTCTAGGGCTGCCTGCAGCATGCGTTTGCTCAACTCTTGGACTACTTTTTCTATGTCGTTATCTGTGTTTAGATTTTCCAGCAGAACATTTGTGCGAAGCTGATACAACTTCCAGTCTGCCTTCTTAAAATTCCACCTTGGCAGTGTGCTGCTCTCTCTTACAGACTGGCTTTCTATAGTTAGAAAGACTGGACGGTGGTCGCTGCCTCCTAGTTGCTTCCCAACAGTTCTGGTAACATTCAGTTCCATGTCTGCTGAGTGAAAGTCTAGGTCTGGTGTCGAGGTGGTATGCCATGCTCTAGAGTAGAAGGTTGGTGGGTCGGTTGGCTTATTAACGAGGATGAACCTCTTCTCATCCTGCCAGTCCTCTAGTTTCTCTCCTCTCTGGTCCATATGATCGTAGCCCCAACTTTGGGAATGGCTATTAAAATCCCCACAAATGATCATTTTTTCATTTATTAGTACTGTATCCAGTGCCTGAGGGCGGTCGCTCGGACAGTAATAGTTGGTCAGATGTAAATCTGTATTTTCTAACTTGAGCTCAAGTGTTTGATACTCAGCACCTTCCATGTATGTTTCGATCCGGCCCGCAAGGATGTTATTTTTGACCAGGGTAAGAATTCCACCTTTTCTCCTGTCTTTGCGGTCAGATCGGAAACACTGGTAGCCTCTGATCTTAAAGGCAATATCTTGTTTGAGATAAGTCTCTTGTAGGCAGCACACATGTACATTCTCTTCGTTCAAGACGTTTTCTATTTCTAATTTCTTAGTATTTACTCCCTCCGCGTTCCAGTGCATTATTTTAAGGCTAGCTGTATTTTCTGCTTTTCTGGTTCTACGGGGCATTAGGTGGAGGCTTCGAGTATTTGAAGCTGGACTCTTTCTTCTTGTCTTAGGCCGGTAAATCGAACCACGTGTACGTGAGTGGGTCGCATGGTGGAAATCAAACTTATTTGCAGATATAGAAATATTCCCTGTTGCGTTTGTGCGTGGAATCCTGATTGCTGTGGTGCGCCTCCTGTCTGGTTGCCTCCGACTTCAGCACCTTGTTTTGCTAGAGTAGACTGGGGTCTTACCCGTGGACTCCCATGTTTATAATGGGAGCGTGGCTCCTACGCGGTTACATTATCGGAATTAGGACACGGCCGCCGCCGTGGCTATTTTGTGGAAATAATTCCGTTATATCACCCCTAAACCACATAATACTTGTATCCACGAACAAGAGAATATCCATCGTTAATGAATTCGTAAGGATACCGGAACGTTAAATAACTTTTGAGATTTCGAGATTTCGAATGTAGAATACTCACAAACGCTTGGAATCACATACTGATACTTTTAGATACCAGTCGGAACTTGATGGAATATCATTAACCATAACACAGACAGTCTTGTTTCCCAGTCAATAAGATTGTATAATTAAGTGTTTCACCTCAAGATTTGCATTGTGTAGAATTATCATCTCAAACACCTACATTTCCATAAACCCTGTTCATCTGAATAGCATATTTATACTGTTTAGTTGCGTATTCTTTACAGGACGTTGCAGAACCAACTCCAACAACCCCTAGCTGTTGTTGATTTTTCTAGGCAAATTTACGTCCAGTAGTTTGCCATTGCTTTCTGGAATGTCGGCTTTCTTGATACCTCTGTCGAAACCAACGCAAGGCGCATGGCCCGCTGCTGGGATCGAACTCGGCATCCCGGCATTACGAAGCGTTCGCATCGAATTAGCCACAAAGCCGACCATATTTATACTAAAGCACTTTAAAACGGTTAGCAATTACCAAGTGATATGGTGTCGGTGAGTTTTCGATGTGTACAATTAACTAGGCCGGGCTTTGGGAGACAGTGACTGGGCGTTCATTCATGCGTCTCAACCTTTGAGACCGCTACTTTAATCTGCAGTGGTGTCAGATTGTGTTGTGTCGCCGCTGTGCTCTTAAGAAGAGTATGTCACTGGTTTTAACGACCCGATAATAGCTAGAACTGGCCCTAACACCTCCGTCCCCCACATGCCAGAGGCTTAGCTTACGTCCCACGAGAAACTGCACCCTACATGCCTTGGTTTCAGTAGATCCATTTCGTACCTAAAGGCCTCGAACGTTAGAATATACCGCAGTCTGCCGACATGTCATCATCATCATGTGCCATGCCAGCTGGCATTGGCGCTCATGCGTTTCCACAGATCACGATCTCTTGTTGACTGGAACAGCTCTCTTAATGATAGCACTCCATGCCATCGTATTAGCCCATCCAGCATTGTCTCTCTTTATCTGCCTCTACCCCCTTTTTATCTACTGATCTTTCCAGTTGTCACGATGTTCTCTTATGTCTGTCTTCTCATTATATGGCCAAAGAACATTGTTTGTCTCTTTCTTATCATCTCAATATATACATAGCAGAATTCAATCTGACACTCCTGTAGTTTGAAGTAGCGGGTCTCAAAGGTTAAGACGCCTGAATAAACGTTCAGTGACCGTCTCCCTGCACCAGACTTCGATATTTGAACCTCTTGATGATATCACAGTAATCCTAGGACACACCAAACGGTCAATCAAACCCACCCATAGTCGACTTGACGGCGGAGCAGCAATTCAATGATCCGAAGCGCAGCTCGGGACCATTCCCTTTCGAAAACAGCCAAACAAAACGAAACCACAACAAGCACCGAACGACAGAACACTAAAAGCACAATTCAAAACCAAATGAGATGAGGACCAGAAACGGCACCACAAATATAGCATACAGGAAAGAGAACAGCAGCGTTTTCTGACCTAGCTGAAAGCGGTCAACGTTAAATGAAGAATAAACAGATCACAGTAATCGTTGCAGAATCTGGGATCTATAACCCCCCCCCCCCCCACACCCTCCTCCCCAATACGTTTGCTGAGTGAAAGTAACGGGCAGGTAGGCGAGTGTCTACATGTCAAAGTTTCTTATTAAACCTGTGATTATAGGGCGTGGCTACTGTTAGATTATGCAGATACTATAAATCACACACAGTGAAAACAAATTCAACAAATAATGTGTGTGTGTGCATTTCAGCACATTATTAGTATCCTTTTAATAAGGGACAAGAAACTGATCATCTCCTTTCACCCCCCCCCCCACCCCCAACCCCCCCCCCCCCCTCCCACCTCACACGGTTTCCTTTCCCCACCATAAAAAGAAAATTGTTTCAAGTATCACTCATCCATGTTTTCCTGATAGTTGCACCGCTGGCATAGGAACCATGTCGATTTGCGGAAAAAAGCAATAAAGCAAGAATACAAGAAAGAAAGAAAGAAAGAAACAAACAAACAAACAAACAAATAAAGAAACAAACAAAGAAAGGAGTCAATGTTTTATAGATTTACGAGTTCTTACTGGGAATGTACCAATGACTGAATATTTGATTCATGGATTGTTTCCCTTATAAGGCTCTCCTTTTAATATGTGGAATGTTTACATGAAATCGACACCCCGGGACGCTGAAGTATTGCGCCAGGAGCTTGCCCGATCGGGAGAGTACACCAACAAATGTTTCCTGATAGGGACTAACCCTTACAGGATGTGAAACCACATCACAGTATATGAGCAACAGTGGGAATTTCCTTGAATGTCAAAGCCGGACAAGGGCGAGAAGCGACTGGTTTGAAACAAAGAAGCCCTATTATTACGTAGAGTATAAAGTATCAACAATAAAATATATTCTACAGAAATACTGAAAGGGAATGCAAAAAAGCAGCGTTATCGCAAAGAATAACGATAAAAAAGATCGTAGTTTTAATTGATAGCTTGTATATGTTGCTTAAACGTGATTAAAATGATGGATCAGTAACTTACATGAAACGAGACAAGCATGTCAGGGACATAGGAAATGGTGCAAAATTACTTACAAATATTTTGCGTATCCAGTCATCCCCTTGTGGGATGCATTTTTTCGTTATTTTGAAGCCCAACTCTGGCTCTTGCCAGGGGCTGCAATATATCCCGGCCATAAATATGGTCTAATTGCTGAACGCGGTTTCCTGGACATCTCCACAGGTGATTCTCATCCGCATGGTGGTACTTTGTGTCATCGGTTGTTTATCGCTTGGGTGGTAAAATTTACTACTTCTACTTCTACTACTACTACTACAGTGCAAAATATTGTATGCCGTCTCCACACCTAAGGTTGGTTGCAATGTATCCACTGCCAATTAGTGGAGCACTACATGGCGACGCTTTATCTCTTCCACGGTGCTGATATCGTACCATTTTTTAAGGCTACGATAACCTTCGTTTACTAAAATGCACACCATGTGCATGGAACCTTGTTGAACATCCAGGATTACATTGTGAAACGATTTCGCTTGCCTACACGCGAAAGAGTAGAAAAAAACGTCCGGAATATGACATTCCTATAACTTATAACAATAATCTTGAAAGCTAAATCTCGTCCTGTCTTCTCTATCCACTGACAACGAAAAATTAACTGTCGGTTTTTTCCCTGAGTTACTAATGTTATCCTTATCATTTGCAGTAGCAGGTCTTTTAGTTTTGTTACATTGGGAAGGTCACAGGTAGTGAGCATACTTTGGATATTTTCTCCTCGCCATGCCTGCGTATTCGGAAACGAACAGGTAGACAGATTAGCTGGATCTGCACTACTGGGTGGTGAACTGATACATGACAAGGCAGACGTGGTCAAGGCCATTTGTGGACAAGCAACGGAATCAGTAGAGAAACAAGACTATTATGGCCTAGAGAGAATGAGGCACCTAGGTGTACTCAGAGGGTCTGGTCGGATAACTACGCTCAGAGAAAAGGCAAGACGGACACATAACCAGATTGTGACAGGTGCCATCAGCATTGGAACTCTTCGATGGCTGCTGAAGATGAGCTCAGAGCACGCATGGAAATGCCTCGAGTGCTGTAATGTCAATTCTTTACTCATCTTATCTCGGCTCAACTAAGTTTTGTGTGTGTATGGTTATCATCAAGGTAACAAACAACAACAACAAAAAACGACCTAATGGACAATAACTGCAATATATTAACAATGTCTTTTTAAAAACATATATTCTATGCAAAAAGCAGGTGCCAATTTGATTTTTTTCTTTTTTTTTTTTTTTTGCCATCCAGTATATTGTACTAATTGAGTCTATTGATCTTTTTACGTCCTCAAATGCAAGGACACTGACCTTAACGAAATAGTTAAAAGTACTTTAACCACTGCGATGAGGCCACTGGTCAGTATTTTTTTTTAAACACTTCTATAATGTCATCAGCATTCGCTCGGAAAGAAATTTCTGGAAGGATCAAAGTGCAAACTCAACAAAGTTCTATTCACTTTGACTGGCGTGCCTCGACTTATACACCCGTATCAACTTTTTATGGGCCAACTTGCGCAGAAGGAATCAGAAAAGCAAGAGGCTGAACGAAAAGTAAGTTGGCATTTTCTTTTAATTACAGCTAGATCAAAGATTGCCAAACATACCCAGACTACAGCTGCCATTGTAATAAAGAAAGATTTAACAACGCATCTAGAAATCTACCTTCTGTAATCAAACGAACAATAATATTCAGTAATAAATGTGTTTCTTTTATGTATGTTTTTTGTTCCACATATTAATTCGCACAATCAAAAAATATGTTGTTAAAAAAGACACGTTGAAGTGTACATAAACAGCAATAGCAATATTTACTTTACAGGCTTACAATTCAGATCACGAAGAATAATGTTTAGAGTAATGTTTTTAGGAAGGAGACACATCTCGCTCTTGTTAATAATTACTGTTAAGCTTTTTTTTTTTTTTTATAAGTTTTCTCACATCTCCACTTACCTCGAATTATTGCAAAAAAGGTACACAGTAAGTCGTTTTGCTTCACTTAGAGTTTTCTCCTTGGTCAGCTATTGTCTTTCTTGAATAAAACAACAAACTGTGTATTAGTATACGATATAATTTGCATTGACTTGTTCACTAAGTATTTGTTTTCAAAAACACAACAACGACACACGTTTATATAGAGAAAATATTTACAGTAAATAAGGCGGACAGTATGGATAGAATAAGGCCCAAACTAGCTATGAAGGGAAAACCTTGGGGGGGGGGGGGGACTAGTACTAATTGGTTAAAGTCCTACGATGTATTGGGAAGTAAATGACACATAAAGTAAAAGGCAATTCAAAGTTAAAAGAAGCATGTCGTTTATGACAGTAGAAACCCGACCCATGATCTTCTCAAGTTGTAGCTGCTTTTAGAGACATAACACCCTGTACACATCTGGTAACTAACAAGTGTATTCAACAGGGGCTAATTCTAGCCAAGTACGTCTGGGTTAACTAAATCATTATTAACTGGTTTCTATCAACACGCCACATACAAACTCCATGAAAGCCTGTGCCTACCCCACTGCAGAGTTTAATGACCTCTACAAGCTTGACGACTTTGGATTTCTTTTACTCTAGCTATATTAAAATGTGTGTGTGTGGTGTGTGTGGTGTGGTGTGGTGGTGGTGTGTGTGTGGGGGGGGGGGATTATCTCAAGAGAGAACTTCGCCAGACTTGAGTCAGACCCTAAAAGGCTCTGCGAATCGAACTGTTTCCTAATGATAAGGGAAAGACATTACTATATTGTTTGTGGGTAATTTCATAATTATCCAACGACTATCGTTCAAAATTATTCAGATTTACATATTTGCATTTGAACAAAAGGTTTTTGGTTGTATATTTGTTTCAGGCACTGCTGGCCTTGATCTACTGGGCTGTGCTGACAAACAGGCAGGAGTTGGCAAAAGTTCTATGGAAGAGATCAGCAGAGCCTATAGCAGTTGCGCTGGTCATATCCAACATGTATTACCACATGTCACATGACTGGATCATTGATGTCGATTTAAAGAAGAAGTTGAAAAGTGCTGCCGTGTAGGTCTTTCGGTGTTCTATGTTTTACTAGCACAATGTGGATACACAAACTGATTAGCAAAAACATGTTGTTTCGGGATGTGGTAATATGTTTCTAAATTAGGAATCTTTCCAGTGTCGGTTTTTGGCTCCTATTGAGCGGGAAAAAGAAAATTTACCCATTGCTCTCTAACAAGCATTGTCGTAAAAGTCGACTAATTATATGTGTTTTCATGCAAAGCAGAGTATAAGAAGCCAACAGTCTGCATACACGTATGCTAAATCTAAAAAGTGGATATACATGCAAAATTTAAGTTCTGAACAAGACCAAAGTCCAGAAGTGGACCAACAACCAGAACATTGCACCACAATTTACAGTCGGTGAACATAAAGGAGAAGAAAAAGGTTACGAATCTTGATTTCAGTTTAATTTCTTTGAATTAAATATGTTCATTACGTTGGTTTGTGTCTGTGTGGGTCTTCCTTCTAATAGGCTATCTTGTCATGTATTGCATTTAAGGAAACACTTGTGCTATTTTTAATTACCATAACCTATATGTATGTTTAAGATTTATAACAAATACTTATGCACTGTCTCTCAAACACAGGTTTTAAACGGTACAGTATGATGGAGAAACATGATGCCTGTTGCAGTCTTGAAGTTTTAGTTGCTTCCGGCATGCTGGTGCGATTTCCCACATTTCTGGAGATAAAGTCAAAATGCAATGACCAGCTATTGAGCTGAGTGCTTGAAACAACACTCTGAGCACACGTGACATAATTTGGCCTCTTTTTATGCTGAAGCTTTTCTGTGCCACGAACTGCACTAAAACTGGGGGATGCTGCTCATGTCCGGACTGACGTTTGCAGCGCTTGCAAATACTTGGTGTCATGATTGGCAACTTCCATCAGAACTGAAATGCTATTATAGTGATATATGTTCGCAAATCTAGCGGCTGCCTTATGTCTTTGCTTTGCTGTTGCTGAGACTAATCTGTGTTCCTAAGAAATCTCTCCCCTCCCCTCCCCCCCCCCCCCCCCCCCCCCCCCCCCCCCCCCCCCCCCCCCCCCCCCCCCCAGTTGCATAGTAATAGTGCAGTTTAAATGGTATTACCCATTTTTCGGAAATTGACATCTTCACTATTTAACTAACTGTAACGTTGAATTTACATTCCCAGAGACATGAAAACACTACCCAAGAAATAAAAAGCTGTTGATTGTGAAGATTACAGAACTATTAGCCTAATGAGTCACGTAACTAAGTTACTCTTGAAGATAATACAAGCATGAATTCAAGATAAAATAGAGAAAGAAGTTTCTGAAGAGCAATTTGTATTTGGATTCCGTAAAAACAGTGGTACTCGAGAGGCCATAATTTGTCTAAAGATGCTGACTGAAAAATATAAAGAAGTTCAGAAAATATTTATGCATGTTTTATAGATTACAAAAAAGCTTTCGACAGAGTGCAACATGAACAACTAATTGCAGCTCTTCAAAACATAGGACTAGATGGAAAGGATATCAGACTTATTAGAAACTTATACTGGGAGCAAGAAGCAGCAGTAAGATATGACAACAACTGCTCACCCCAGATAGAGATCAAGGGAGGAGTAAGACAAGGATGTGTGCTGTCGCCTAGCCTTTTCAACTTATGTACAGAAACCATTTTTAAAGAAATTGTAAAATTACCAGGACTGCGCATCAATGGTAGAATAATATACAATCTGAGATATGCTGAAGACACAGTGTTGCTAGCAGAGAGTGAGCAGGAGTTGCAAGACCTAGTGGAGCAAGTAAACAGAAGGAGTGCAGAATTTGGATTGTATATAAATTTGAAAAATACAAAAACCATGATATTTAGCAAAGAAAAAAATCAGCTAACAATGAATATCACAGTGAACGGGGTGAAATTGGAACAAGTTAAAAATTTCTTATATCTTGGACAAGTAAAATACATGTGAAGGCAGAAGTGAAACAGAAGTCAAAAACAGAATAGAGATGGCCAAAAACATTTTCAACAACATGCAAAAGTTACTGACATCAAGAGAAATAAGCAATACATTAAAAATGAGAATTGTCAAATGTTATATATTCTCAACCTTACTGTATGGCACAGAGACATGGACAATGAACAAACAACTAGAAAATCGTATCAATTCTTTAGAGATGTGGATATACAGGAGATTAGGTCGTATTTCATGGAAACAAAAGCTATCAAATACAGAGGTACTGAGGAAATTGGAAATGAAAAGAGAGTTGCTAGGTGAAATCAAAAAAAAAGAGACAGGGCTTGTTAGAGATCCATTGCAGCCAACCTTCATTGTGGAGACGGCACCTGATTGATTGAACGTTGAATTAAGAATCGACATCAATGAACTCGGGAATCTTCAATAAGCGCGCTGTCCCCATCTTCAGCATCAAACAAAGAGTTCTATTTCTGATGACACCAGTAACTGAGCATGTATCCGTCTCGCCTTTTCCTCGAATACTGAGCGTCTGTCAGATCCCCTGGTAACTTCCAGCAAGCCATTCTCATCTGACCGTAATGATTTTTTTGCGCTTCTGCAATGTTCACTCGCTCGCAGAAGGCCCCTACAACATATAGCTCATCATATATCAGTTCACCAGCAAGTGGAACATAACGGACCAGTCTATCTGCCTGCTCATTTCCCAACACACTGGCATGACCTGGAGAGAACATCTAAAGGATGTTAACTACAAGGGACATCTGCAGTGATGCTTGCCAGTCTGCACAGAGCATACATGTCTCCACCATTCTCAACATGCTCTGTGAGTCAGTTACAATTACGGCATGTGCGTAGAGCTGACTCTCAAGCCAGCGGAATGCAGAAGTGACTACCTCCACCTCCATTCTCAAACTAGAAGTGATATCAAATGCAATGCTTCGTTGCTCTAAGCGACGTCCATTCGCTTTTGCTAATAACCCCCAGGCACTTCGTCTGCACCTCAACACAGGGCCATCTGTATAGAAAATCACATCACTTAGGCAGGAATTGTCATAAATCATTGTTTTTTCAACTTCTGATTCTGCAGCGCCAGCTCGCTAGTCCCTGCACTTACGAACCAAAGTGATAAGAAACCTACACAAGTCTGAAACTTGCTCAGGCACTTTGATCTACTCCTCACCTAGCACACATTTATCAAACCTGCACACAAGTCTGATTGTGTTTTTAGCTTGCGCCATCCAAGACCTTCCTCTTTTCAGTCTGTGACCATTAGCTCTACCCAGGGCCTTATGCACGAAGTTCTTCTTGTTTGCAGGTACTCTGAGATATGACATTCCTTTCGGAACAATGAGCCTATCTGCAAAAGTAGGCAGTGCAAGTATATATTACAGACTTCTGTAAAGGCGAAAACATGTTCCCCCCCCCCCCCCCCCCCCATTTTTTTCTCACATATCTTTTACCCTCCCTTGTGAAGGGATGTTTGTATTACTGCATTCGTATATGTGAATACCATACCCAACATTAACGTTGTACCACATCATAAATATATCACTAGACTCATATTTTTGATACAATATATAGCACGCAATGTGCTCTTAGGTCAACCCAACCTAAAATAGGTATGGAGAAACACAATGGGAAATAACGACGTTCGACGTGATGCTGACAACATCCCCCATCTAGTACATATTCGTCCATGGAAATATGATTGTAGCACCATAATAAATGATATATATTAGTGTAAAGGAAGCCTTATAATTTACTTTGACTTTCTTGTTTCGTACACATTTCTAGAATCACACGTACTGATACTTCCCCCCCCCCCCCCTCCCCTTTCTGAATTTACTTTAGCGATTTCGGCACTTTGGCTGTGGAAATGATGGATTTGATATACAATGACTCCAGCGTGATGGCATATTACGCACTTGTGAACCCACTCAGTGACTTCAATAACCTCAATGTGGTAGACCTAGCCCTCATTGGCAACAACATCTTTTTCATTGCCCACCCATGCTGTCAGAGGTCAATGCGCGCTCGCTGGCTTGGAAGGCTGAAGATCAAATCATCCGCATGGGATCCAATACATATACCGGAGTTTGTTAAGGTTAGAGATGAGTTAATCAAGAGTAATCAGCCAGCAGTGAAATGCATAAACATTTGCATAGAGGCTACTTTTTTCAAAACATCATCATTACGTAACATGTTCCGGCAAATTGTTTCAAAACATCATCATTACGTAACATGTTCCGGCAAATTGTTTCAAAACATCATCATTACGTAACATGTTCCGGCAAATTGTTTCAAAACATCATCATTACGTAACATGTTCCGGCAAATTTAGATCGAATTAAGGTAGCTACGTATTCTGGCTATGAAAAGTGTCTGGATGCTACTGGGAATTGCTTTGAGCACATGCAGTTACTTCATACATCATATATAACTTGCATTCATCTCTTTGTGTGTGAAAAAAAAAAAAAAAAACATAGTATCAAAATATTTATACAGGCTGCTATTTTAAAACAAAATTGCTACCGTAATGTATTCAAAACAGTTTTTGTGTTTTGTTCGGTTGAGGTATTTGAACAAGGGATCAATCAACATCATGGTTAGGGGTGTAACCTATAAGTGCTCCGTTCGTCTTCTAACTCAAGTCTAAGTCCAAAGAAGCTCAGAACAGTGCGCAGGCTCTGTAACACCGGCGAGGATCCTGAAATACTTTGCGTAGATTTTCAACTCCAAATTTTGCCCGGGCAGCGCCGTAAGGCTACTCTTTTCGATTTACAACTTCAGAAGAATTTTTTACATACGCAACAATGCACACGGGCGTCTGATCTCATTATCCAGAGACCAGAGGGAATTACTAGAAGTCCACGTAATAAAAATCCCAGCCCTTACCTGGAATTGAACCCAGCACCTCTAGCACTCGAGGCGGACACAATGCCCCGATACCACGCAGCCCCCTTAAAGACAGCAAATACTGTACACGTATGTACATTTCACTGATGGGCTATTACTGTGTAAACACTTTGCGTGTTGTCTGCGTGCGTGCGTGCGTGCGTGCGTGTGGGTGGGTGGATGGATAGGTGGGTGTGTGTGTCTGTCTGTGTGGCTAAGTATGTATACGTTAGGTTAGCATAAAGATACCCTGGTAGAGAGAAATCTTGTTCGCATTTCTGTGGGATCGGAGATCGTGGGTTGTCTCTCATCCCCCAAGCAACGTATAGTGTATTACAGACAATTCTTCCCGTCTGCCAAGCATCGCATAAGGTACTTTCTTATTACTGAGAAGTCTTTTTCAGGGCATTCTGTAAAAATCTGTACACCCCTGTAATAAGTTGTATTTATTTTGTATTTATAGGAAGCAGCGTTTTCTTGAAACAGTTCATTGAACAAATAGTTGAGTTAATGAGTTAATTTAGGAACCTAATTTAGTCCTAATCTTCGGCAGCCAGTAAAGAGTTCCGGTAATAATGATGTTTTCACCATTCTGATTAAACGTTTGCCTTGCCTTTCCTTGCCTTTCCTTGCCTTTCCTCTGGGCCTCGAGCATCTGCCAGAACCTCTCGTCACTCCTCAATGCATCAATCTCACCAGACTGAGGAGATCCATCTGCTCCTCCGAACAGTACACGCTTTCCCACAAGACACTAACCACGTCTGCCTCATCATGCATCCGTATTCCACCAAGCCAGGCAGAGCCAGCCAGCCAGCCTGTCCGTCTGCTAATTTTTCTAACACACATCGGCGTCTTCCAAAAAAAAACCAGGAATGAATAAAAAACTGTCTATGCACTATTATGCAACCAACAAAGTTAATAAGTTGGAATTGATTTTTATAAAAATAAAAACTCTCCGTGGTTGATTTCACATAATACTGGTACCAGCAATGGCGGTAAATATGGCTTTTACCATACTATCCATTGAATGTCTGTAAATTTAAAATACAGGAACATAATACCCAAAACTTTACATGACGTAAAAAAAGGCTCATTTAGTTTGCATATATCACTGGATCTACACTGCTTTATCCTTGTTTCCCCTTCTTTTGTTTCTGAGTTAGTTATACGAGCATTGTGTTATGGTTTATAGCTAGTCTGCGATATTGTTTCTTAACAGTGTATTATTGAAGTCCTGATAGTGGTTCCTAGGAGTCATTGAATAAGACAGTGGTAATAACTTTTGCTCTCCCTCTCTTGCAGTGTCTCTCTGTTTCTATTGACTCTGTGTGTGTGCGTGTGCGTGTGTGTAGGTATATATATATATATGTATATATATATATATATATATATATATATATATACGTGTGTGTGTGTGTGTGTGTGTGTGTGTGTGTGTGTGTGTGTGTGTGTGTGTTTGATTCAATCAGGCAATTCTGGTCTGAGTTGTTTCCACATATCTGGAGAATCCGTTTTTTTTAAAGAGCAAATTACCAAACTACTTTGTTTAATAATATCGAAAACTTAGGACTTCTAGAAATGTCCACTGAAAGTAATTACTACGGTGAAGATAAATGTTAAAATACAATGTTACCTAATATTCAGTACTATTATTATTATATTGATACAAACGAAAGTCAGAAGAGAATGGTTCTTGCAAGTGACTTTCCAGATATGAGTATCATAGCTAGGCAGTTCTGAGTGCATTATACCTTGCCAATAGGATTCGATGTTTGATTACCTTATCTCATGGTAAGTAATCAAGAGGACTATTTGTTATATTAGGGCTGGGTTAGGTATATAGTTGTAGTTTCAGTATTCCTGATGACTCGACAATTGTTAACGAAGTCAGCATTTTGTCTGCCACCTTTACTTTCAAGTGAACTGTTCTGTAAATATTATGGCTAGGTCTGCTAGGAAACTGAGATCAATAGGACAATTACAAATATCCAAACTCCTCTTTCAAAAGGAATTCAAACTTATGACTACAAGACCGGCATGCAATACAGCATGTTAGCCCTTTTTATTTTGAAATTTTTCTATTCGAGGCTTTTATGGCAAATCAGTAATATAGGGTGGCTACCAAAGTTACGCTGGTTAGTTAGTTAGTTAGTTGGGTTATCATCATTGCACTCCGGACATGTCCATAGGTGCTCAGATCCTCCCCTCAGTATTAATCCCAACGTCCGATGGCTAATAGTACCAGTTCTATGTTGATTAACAAGTCTTCTGACGTGTCCGGTGTGCGTCTCGTTTTTTGCTGTGCCGATCTTAATTCCCAAGTCTGCCATTCTGGCGAGTGATGTGGATTCACTGCCACCAAAGTCCTCTATCCTTCCCATTTCTCTGAGGGCATTGATAATATCAGCATGATCCATAGGCCGACCGTCGGTAGTGATAGCGGATCCAGCCAACCTGTCAGCTCTTTCATTTCCATCGACGCCTGCGTGTCCCGGAACAAAAATAAAGGTGACTCCTCGCACAGTGGACTTCTGAATTGATTCAAGCCATTGTCTTCGCACTGAACCTGCCTGAACCCTCCGGATCATACTCATTGAATCACTGAGTATACATATGCGGGTGTATTTTTGTGTTTCAAGCCAGGCAAACGCTTTGCGTCACTGCCATCACCTCCATCGTCATGCTGCTGGTTGTCATGGAGAAGGCGCCGTTGGCTTCTTTGACTGTTCTGCCGCGCTGAGCGTGCTGTAAATGCCCATGCGCTTCTTCTTTGGCGTATAACTGATCCGTCTGTATAGATTAGTGCATCTGCTTCGTCTGAATTTTCACCGATGAGAGCGTTGACCTCTGCATTAACAGCAACAGGATTATCTTCTCTACATCGCCTGTTGAGTGTGACAATACAGGAAAATGTACAAAATAAACGCCTGAGGCACAGGTATCCATTCTGCACCAGGTATGATGTCGGTTAGGCTGCATATTTGCCTAATAACATCTTCTGCCCTACCTAGCCACGATTTTCCCCTCTTCAGTCTGTCGCCCTTTTCACTAAAAAGCGCTTGATGCAGTGGGTGTTTCTTATCAGCACATATTTTGAGGTATGCCCGAGCCCTCCACATCCGATCCTTTGGTTCATTGTTGGAAAGTCAAGTAGATACCTCATTGCTCCACAAGATGTGTCTCTTGTACATCCCAAAATAATACGCATGGCTTCATTTTGCACCTTCTCGAGTCGTTCAATCTGGGTAGCACTGACAGTGAGGATGGCCAGAGCGTATTCAATGGGGGAAAGGACCAGACCATAGAATAGAAGCACCAGCAGTCTTTGCTCGATATTGGAAGCAGCCATAATCCTCATTGCAGATAGACCTTTGCGTGCTTTTGTTATCGCATGGTCAACGTGTTCCCTGAATGACAAGCTGCGATCGAACCTCACCCCGAGAAACGTCATAACGTTGGTTCTGATCAATACATTATCACGCATTTTCACTTCTGGTAAGTCCGACTTGACAATGTGATTGTTCAAAGAGAACCATGACACTGATGCCTTCGAGGGATTGACATAGGCATTGGAACCATCACACCAGGCGGCAATTCGATCGAGTTCTTTGTGCATTGTGCTGGCGATCTCCTGTCTATCACGCCCTCGTCGATAAATCAAAATGTCATCAGCAAATGACAAAGTCCTTCCCTTTCCGTTCAACTGCTGCTCAGTGATCATCACCGTATAAACATTGAATAAGACTGGTGATAGCGGTGATCCCTGTGGCAAGCCTGAGTTACGCTGGTGTGAACGGCAATGAGAGAGCAGACGCTCTGGATGGCAGTACGACTATCAGGAATGGGTCCTCCATGGACAGGAGAAGCATCACCGATGCCATTCGGGAGAGTAGTCGCTGTGAGGATTTCAGTTTCAAGGAAAATGATTTTTCACTGAATAGACTGCTTACCCAGGGTGTACCAATTGGACCCGAGAGACAGGAAACCCATAGGGAAGCCACATGTCATTACATCAACCAGAACAGAATGGACATTGTTAGCTTAAAAACACTTTAAGACATACTCAGGAAGTTATCAGAGCAATTATGGTCGTGTTCGATGTGCGATGAAAATGTTTTTCAATATTGAACAAAGATAGTGTACTAGTGCACTGTAGAATCTCTAAAATCTCAGATTTATCAAGAGCAAAATTTTAGGATTACATTCAACAGTAAGTGCTGGGGAATGACTGCATTCCACACATGCACTAGAAACTTTTCACAATAAATGTCGAAGGAGAATACTGCAAATGTTTTGGCCTGACAAGATCGCTAATGAAGAACTGAGCAGGAAGACAAATCGTTGGTCAGTAACAGAATATGGAAATAGTTTGCATAAGTTTTTAGAATGCTTCCTTACTCGCTGGCAAGGGCATCTCTCCAGTAGGCCAAAGGTAGAGACCTAAGGAAATTTTTGTCATCGTCCAGGTCTGGCATTGATAGTAGAGGGGTTGGCAAGAAGAATGTTTCATGAAGGGCGCATTTTGTTTCTGCTCACACATTTTTGTTTCTTTGCACTGGTGCCATTTCCTCAGTCGCTTTTCTGTGTTACATCTGTCGTCGATATCATCTTCCGTTTTGCCGGCTGATGATATTATGCTTTCTAATAATTTGACTGCTCCGGTTTACTTTGGAGGGTGTTTTGCAAACTATTGTAATAATTAATAATAACCATGCTTTTGTCTTCGTTTCCTTCCTTTCAGATTTACATGAGCCTCTTCTTGTTTTTTCCAATGTATTTTTGGCTGACCTTTAACCCGGAAAAACGAAGCAATGGCTACACTGAAGGTAAGAACTAGGTTATATAAGAAATACATTTCTCGAGAGCACTATGTTTTACATATTTCGGTGCACAAAAGAGGATCGTGGACAGTCAGAAGATTTGTAAAATATCTTGCAGATGCTATAAAAATGTGACTGATGTTAAAGTCATAGTCGTGAGAATTGATATTTTTTTTGCACCTGCTTTTATTTAAACTCCTTGTAGCTGGGTTTTTGAAAACGACTCACAAAGCCCGAACCCCTATAGATCCAGTGACGATCCCCACAGATATCCGCAAACAATTAACTAATGAATTGAAAAACGCGAACTCGGTACGAATCCACAGCCTTCTGTAAGTGGAGCAAACTGCTTGACTACCTGGAATGCGACTTGTTTGTTTGTTTTAGTATCCAGAAGCCATGAGTTGTTAACCCTTAGGCTCGGTATCATGGATATCGCAACCTTTGAGCCTTGATTCCATTGTAAATACCGTACATCTGGGAGAAAATGTGGCTTTTCTGCCAACCCAGGGAGTGAACCCGGACCACAAGGAGTTCGTCACCCGGTAACCGCTCAATCCGGTTTAGCCAACTACGCTAGAGAGCCGGACCGGATTGCGATTTAAACACTATATAAAAATAATGAATATGTCTTGAACGAAATTCACGAAAAGACAATGATTACCAGCACACAATGCAGACTATCTGGAGTCTTTAGATACACTGCGAGGGGGAGAAAATGTAAACTCTGTGGTAACGGGACCCAGCGAGAGGCCAAGAGAGAAGATGTATCATACCATGGAGGAACATCTTTTTCAACCATATTTTCAAATACACCAAACGAAGGTTATGGACGGACATGATTACTAATGCTTCACGTACTGGGTTATACGACAATCATCGTGTGCCATGCCAAGTATAACTAAAAGATTAGGTGATGTTTAAATAGGTGATTGGAGAACATGTAATTCCATTGTTGTTCTCTGGCATAGAGTTTAAATTTGGTTGTTTGCTTTCTGTACGTTTAATCCTCAAACAGATGTCAAGATCAGCACAGATCCGTCTGTCCCAGACTGTGAAGCATGAATCTGTCTTATTTTTGTTATTCATATTTTCAATGGCTGTAATCTCCATCGGCACGTTCTGATTGTTCATATATTCCTGGATTTCGGTCTTGATCCAAAACCTATGCTTGTATTGCACATCTCCTTTACATATCCGGTTTAATTGGTGCAGGCTGTTGGTTACTGGTGTTTCATCTGAAGCCGATGGACTATGAAACTGAAGTAAACACCCCGAAGTAGTTTTCTATACGACACATTGTTAGAGGGACAGTCAGTCTATTCCTTGTCCTGCAAAATGGAACCTCGAAACCGGCACGAAAAAACTGTCTTTAACCCAGTTATTATTAACAACTGTATTGCTTAAAAGTATTGCCGTTCTTATTTGTGTAATCAATGTCTGTGGTGTTGCAGTATATATTGCTATAGTGTGACTTACTCTGGGTACTGTTTACCACACTGCAGCTCCATTCCCACTCGATTCTACTAGATAAATTATTACCAGCATTAGTTGGGCACATGAGTGTCAGGAAATGGCATGATAAATTGTTGAACAACCATATCGAAATACCTGTCACCGTTAAGGAACACACGCACCACCAAGAATACTCTTTCTTCAGTATTTAACACCAGTTAATTACTAAAGCACCGGTATATAGAAGTAATTTAAAGTATTCCAAACACAGTAGTTATATGGCGCTTGAAACATGACGCAATATTATTTTTTAAATAATGTGCGTAAGGCCTAAGATAAATCGTTAAGTAAATGCTACAAATATAATAAATATTTGACAAGCCGCCAGAAAGAAACTTGTTCTATGTCCTGTTTTTCGACATAGTTTCTGTCTTGCAAAAGGTGAAGTCCACCGATCCACATGATTGTGATTGCCCGACAGGGAGAAGCTTTTTGCTGTTTCCAGCAACCAAATTTATACCACTGACATCCACTCACTGTCATTTGCAAAGCTTCGACCATGCAAATGTTCTTTCAATGGGCCAAAGAAATAAAATGCCAACGGTACCAAGTCTGAGCTGAATGTTTCAACACTTCAAACCGCAGATTCGGTAATGTATCCGTTGTATACGCATCTGTGTGGTGGCGGACGTTGTCTTGTAGCAACATAACCTCTTTTGAGAGAAGACACCAGCGTTTCGATCGGATCGTAGGTTTCAACTTGTTCGCAAATATATTACTGAGACGAGCACTAGCCAAAGTTTCATCCCTTTGCTAAAGACACGTAAATATAGAGCCACTGACACCCCCCCCCCCCCCCCCCCCCCCCCCAATGTTATCATGGCCTTTCCAGCTGAAGTCTGTGTGTTGAATGTTTTCGGTGGTGTTAACGCCGGGATCTTTCACTGCATCTATTTTCTATTACTATCTGGTTTATAACGGTGCATCCACGACTCATCACCTGTCACAGTTCGTTGGAAAAACGCACCTCAATCAGGGGAATAACGATCCAAATGCTTCTGAAAAAAATCGTCTGCCTAGTATGCTTTTATTCATTGCACAGCTGCCTTGAAACCCGTCTGCTACACACTTTCCTTTATGCACAGTCGTCAGGAACAACTGTGTATGTAGCACCATGATTTAGTGTAATTCTACATCAATAGTTGTTTTATCTGTAGTCGCTGATACGCTGCGCTATCTGCTCTTTGACAGTCTCGGTTGCCACACTAACAGGTCTCTCACTCTGCTTTTTATCACTTATGTAATCGCTTTCACTTTTTAAAATCGTTCCACTATCCATACACTTTCCTCTGAATGTTGCATGTTGAATTAAGAATCGACATCATAGACTCGGGATATTCTCATAAGCGCCCAGTCGCCATCTTCAGCAGCAAACGAAGAGTTCCGATTATGATGGCACCACTAACTGTCTGGTTTATATTTGTCTCACATTTCCCTTGAGTGTTGAGCATCGATCAGATCCCTTTGGTAACTCCTCGCAGCGTCATTCTTCTCAGACCGTATTGATCTGTTTGTGCTTCCACAACCGATTCACTCGCTCCCAGAGAGCCCTCACAACATCTAGCTTGTCATAAGTCATTTCCATACCAAGTGGTGCAGAATAAGCCATCTACCTGCATGTTCATTTCTCAACAATTTGGCATGACCTGGAGAGAATATCCAAATGATGCTAAGTAACTGGGACCTCTGAAAAGATACTTGCCACTCTGCAAATGCCAGGCTTTGCTGCACTAAACGAAGTCCATTAGCTGTTACTATGAATCCCTATGCACTTCGTCTGCCCCCCAACACAGAGCCATTATTACTTTATTCTGACATAATCTAATGTTTCGGTGCCGAACCTTCATTCTTCGATATATGTCACCATCAGGTCACAACAACAACAACATCCACAACAACAACAACAACAACAACAACAACAACACACACACACACACACACATTCACACACACAATGTCACTTCGTTGCACTTCCAGAGTGCATGTTAACAGTGCTGCTGCCACATTGTCTACGAGATGTTGCGCATGCGCAAACTAATACAACGTCACGACACGTAGTTTGGTTATTGCAAGGAGGCCATTGGTGTCCTGCAATCATGATTTTGCTCTTCCATACCGTTTTGGGCAGACTAGAATACAACTGCCTTTAGTTGTTGACTTTTCCTCGTAACAGATTTAAAAGAAAAAAAAAATTATAGTCATTAAACACACACCCTATTTATTAGCGTGCAAACAACAAAAATGTCTATACGACCTTTACACGTAGTTTGCTTGTTTTTTTTTTTTTTTCAGTATCTTTGCTATGCATGTACATTTTTTTATAACTCACTTTTTTTTTTAAATTTGTAATCAGCATAATCAATCAGCAAGTCATTTACAGAACGTCGCTCTCTTCAGGGCACCCCTGAAAGTATCCCTTTCCCTAGCCAGCTCTACATCCTCATGTGCTTTCAATGTCAATGCTTCTTCACTGTCCTGTGTCCATCTTCGCGGTGGTCAACCCCTGCCTCGCCTTCCACAAATTGCACCCTCAATCAACGTCTTTTACGAGCCAATATGACGCTTGGTGTTATAAAAATACATCAACTTTCGTCACATAATGCTGTTTATAAGCCAGTTCTCCTTTTTTTTTTTTTTCATTCGTTTAGAATGTTTTATGTTTTTTTCTCCTCTTGATCCGTGGTGTTCTAACAATTTTTCTATATTTTAATTCAAAAGCTCCAGTCGTTTTCCTCAGTGACTGAGTAAGAGTCTAGGACTCGCAACCGTAAGGTATCACAGAAAAAATGCATGATCTCAAGATTTTTACTTTTACCAATTTCCTAGCGATTTGCCATAGTTTCTTCATGATGATAAATCTCTGCATTGCTAATGCAAGTCTTCATCTGACTTCTTTCGAGCAGTCGCCACTGTAGTTCACTAAAGAGTACAAGTATTCAAAATCTGCTACATTTTCTATTTCTTTATTTTCGATTGTGATATGTGCTTGGTGTGCTGTATTTACTGAGCACATTTTTTTGTTAAATTTTTAGAAAAAGATTTCACTTCTTCGCTGTGCTTTTTGACGGCCAGAACTAATTTTTTCTAAACTGTGTACTCTGTTCGAAAGAAGAACAGTGTCGTTTGCATATCTGAGTTCTGGGATGGGATTAACTCAGATTTTTTGTGGATCAAAGCTCTTACATGCCTCATCAGTAATTGCGTTTCTCATAACATTTTCAACATATATGGTAAAGAGGTAGAGAGATAGAATGCAGCCCTTCCTCCCTTATTTGTGCACTTCAAACCATTATGATGTTTTACCAGCTACTCTGACCGCTGCTTGTTGTTCATAGTAAAGGGATTCCATTAGGTGCACCAGATGTTTTAGAAAGTCTATGCCTCTCATTATATGCCAGTTTATGATGTTGCACACAGTCAAATGCGTTGTTGTAGTCTATGAAACAGGTAAGCAAATCTATCTTGTATTCTCTACACTTCTCTAGGATGATTCTCATATTAAAAATATGGTCTCTTGCTCCTCTGCCGCGTCTAAATCCCGCTTGTGTTCATATTCCAATTTATTCTCAATCCTACTCAGAATGATATGCAGAAGGATTTTGCAGGTTTGACTATTTAGAGCTATAGTTCGATCATTGTTATATAATTTAAGATTTGGTGGGGGGGGGGGGGGGGGGATATAGACTGATCTTTTCTACGCTTCGAGCCAGTCAGCACTATTCCAAACTTGTACACATAGTGCATGGTATAGAATGACGCTGGCTTATCCTCTAGCCTGAATTAACTCTGCAGGTATGTCGTCACATCCCAGGGATTTACCTAAGTTCAGGTTCTTCTTTGCTATTCTTACTTCCTTTAATAGAGGTCCTGGCTATTTCTCTTTAATTTCTTCGGCACTATCTGGCATCTATAATCAAGTATATACAATTTTTCTGACATCTGATTTTGTGAGTGGGGTAGGTGAGAGAAATGTCATAATCGAAGTTTGGATCAGTATGCTGTTCTGTACAGGTGCACGAATTCCTTATCTGGTTGTTGCTGTTGCTGTCTTCATTATCCAGTCTGTTGCCAGTCTATTTTTACTGGCAATATCTGCCTGTACGCAAACAATATTAGTGCAAACCTTGGGCCTTTTTTGTGACTCCTGGAGACTTGATTAAGTTCCATTCCCCACGGCCGGCTTTGCATGGTCCATGCAAGGACAGATTTTAACAACTGCCATCAGAAGAGCAAAGTAATTACCAGATCCAATGACGAGCTTTAGATCTGCATATTAGTACGCAGAATTTCCATCATCAATTTTTCAGAACTATGAAAATTTAATCAACGGCATGCGAAAGATTGCAAAGCTCAAAAACGGTCAGAAATACGAGCAACAATCAATTTCTATAAATAATGTAGAAATCTCCGTACAATTACCTTAACTTGTTAAACTTTGATGAATATTTCTTTGGTAATATCACTAATTAAATTTGGTTTGACGGCCGTATCAGGGGCTGCGTGGTCTCGAGGCATGATATGCGCCTCGAGTGCTAGAGGTTGTGGGTTCAATCCCCCGTAAGTGCTGGGATTTTTTCACGTGGACTTGGACTTCTATTAATTCCCCCTGGTCTCTAGGTAGTGAGATCGGACGCCCGTGTACATTGTTGCGCACGTATAAAATATCTCTTGGCAGTTGGACATCGAAAAGAGTAGCCTAACGGCGCTGCCCTGCCATAATTTAGAGTTAAAAATCTACCCAAAGTATTTCAGGATCCTCGCCTGTGCCACAGAGCCTGTGCACTGTGCTAAGCTTCTTCGGACTAAGACAAGTTAGAATAAGAAGGGAGAGGTTATGGATTACTAACTGTGTGCCTTGATGTTGATCCGTTGCTCAAACCTCAAACGACAGCAATAACCTGACCTTGTATAACTGATATTTATCGCTTTTTTTCCTACGACTAATTAACATTAGGGTAAATGCAAACAAATAGACTGCAACGCTTTGAACATATAGAGACGAGGACAGACAAATGCCTACACAAAATAGTTGAATGGAGCAGACCACGAGACAGATCAAGAAGTCGGCGGAGATATAATATACCTAAAAAGAATTGGAGTCACCATTTTGAAAAAAAAAAGAAGGCCAATCACAGACATAAAGAGACGGGTGATATCTGCAGCTAGAACCTTAAAATATCGGAATGCTGGAAAAACAACAAAAGCAAAGTGATAATGGTTAATCTTTTTTTTTTATAAATATATTATATTAGTGGCTCCCATGTCGATCCAGCTTTAAATGGGTACCAGGTAAGTCCTGGGAAGTATAAACGGCCGGCGTGATGTTGTCCACATCAACCGCCAAGTGCCGACTGGTCTGTACAACATGTGTCCTGTAAACCAATCTAAGCTTGTCGCTCGGTCGTCCAGGTATGCTGACTGCTCTAATTAGGCTACCGTGGCGACTTCTTATCTCACAGTACCTTATGCAATTTCGTGCAGCAGGGTACCAGCCCTGAGCTTCATGAACTCAGGTGGGCCCACTTCTGAAAACGTCTAGGAGCTCGTGGGCCGAAACGTTTCTCGACGAGGATAACTTCTACTGATGACTGGTAGATCGCTGCTGTACTTGCTCCCCTATGGAGTGTATTCCTATAGGTCTAGCCCAATTTGCCTAAAGGCTTGGAAAAGAGTCCTTTACTTTATAATTTACCACTATGCTCCTAGCTCTAATTGATTGAATTTACAACACAAAAAAGGTCAACTGGTTTATTTAATATTTCTGACTGCACAGCAGGTGATCATACGATTCATCAACACTGAACTGAATATCTGTAAAACAATTGCTAGGCTGACCTAGCCTTAAAATAATGCCTGAAAATGTCCTCGGAGCTAAGCAAGATGGTTGTAATTATGACCAAATCATCTAAGTGTTCGAGTTGGTCGAAATAAGTCATAGGCTAACACCATAAACCCAGGGAAACTCAAATCGACGGCACGGGTGCTTTCTTGGCAGTGGTCTTGGAATTGAAACCTCGCCAAATTAAACGCTTCCTGAAAACAGTGCAATAGTAAAGATGCAATTAAATCTTCCCATACTCGCCCTCCAATATTGGGAAGTAAAGGCGGCTGGCGTGTGCCTAACCACATCACCCACCAAGTGCCGATTGGTCTATAAAATATATGTTTAGCTTTTCATCTTCTTCTCTTCCACCTTGTACCTCATCGAAGTGTCGGGGGGAGATGTAACATTCGTTGATGAGCTTTACATGCCCAATAATCATTTTTCGTGGAAACAAAACCAGTCCAGCACAGAGGTTCTGGAAAGGCTACAAGTAAAAAGAGAATAACCGCAAGAAATAAAAAGGAGATACTTTGGCCACATTAAAAGACTTAACACACAATACTCTTGGGAAAGGTTGAAAGCAAAATGGACGGACGGTAGTCTGAGAGAGTGAACAACCAGGACAAGGAGCAAAGCATGTTGATGATCCATCGCAGCCAACCTTCAATGTAGAGTGGGCACTTGATTGACTGATATGCCAAATAGACCTGAATGCGTCGAAAAGGGTTTATTACCTTTTTTTACTGTATACATGCCTTACAGTGCGTCGGCTAAATGTTGGCAACCCTATGTTGCTTTAAAAACCAAGGGTCAGCATAATTCCAGCCATCTCTTGCTTTCTATGAGGGTTTTGTTTAGACCTCATGACTTTCGAGTTAGCTGTCAAGTTTCGAGTATCTGCTCCACTGTAAGCTACCAGAGTTGTAGTGCGGGCTATTGTATTGCGTTGCGAACGCGCTTCGTAAAGCTGAGGTGCAGGGTTCGATCCTAAGTGGAGACGTTTTGGCAACCGACCTTTCGCATTGGGTTCAACAGAAGCATTTAGAGCCGACTATACAGTTCAATGGTAAACTAGTAAATGTAACATTTGCCTCAAAAAGCCACAACAGCTAAATAATGCTGGGGGTTGGTTTAGCCACCTGTAAAGGATCCACAACTAACACAGGTATCCATTAGGATAACCATCGTATCTACTCTATCTCTGCATTGTCAGTTATGTTGATGGGTTTAAATTATTTACTGAAAACATGTCTTCAGAAGACGACCAGGATGAGGAAACCGAGAGCAGAGACAAAAGCCCGAAACAAGTGAGTGTGTGATGAATGCATAAATCATTATCATCATCATCATCATCATCATTATCTTCAGCAGCAGCATCAGCTTCAACTTCTGCCATTATACGTTGTGGGGAAAAACAGTTTGCAATCCATTGATTGATGGCAGCAACGACTGCTGCCATTTTGTGTCGATATTGAAGCTATTTAATGTCATCAATCCATCTTCTACTCTTGCTTTCACTTTAGATCCTTTCAATTTAGCACCTGCATTGGTAGTAATGCATACTTCAAAAGCTATAATTTAATATTTTAAATTAGCGTTAGATAAATGCACATCCTGAAGTTGGCGGTTTCGATGGCGAAGTGGTCAACCCGTTTGCTTTAGGCTTTAAAGGTTATGGGTTCGTTTAAAGGCTAAGTCGCTCTGTTCAGGAGCACAATAATGACGAATATCTCTAGGATCACGCCGAAGCTACACAGTTCGTACTTTGACGTTCTCGGCAGCCGTTCTTCGGGGAGAGACCGAGTGATGCGGGATAAACCCCACTGCACTTAAGTGTATCTTTTCACCTCTACCCTTTATTATCCTGGGATAATAAATAAATTCAACATTTGACATATGAGATTTACATACAATTAACTTGCTGAAAAATGATCAGCCTCAATTACTGGTCATCTAGACTATTCACAATAACGATCTGTTTTATATAGTCATCGTATGTAATATCAGATTGCACGCCAGTAAGAGCCATAGAAAAGACTCACGCAATGTTTATGCGATCAAAGGAGACAGAGCAAAATATTGTCCCCACTGAAGACGAAGTAGCCTACCATCTAGCCAATGGGCAACCCGGTGAACGATGTGTGTTAGTAGTCACGCTATCCAAACCTTCAGCCCTTGACCTATCAATCGTTTTTGACATAGATGTTCTTCCATACCATAACGTAAAACTGCTCAGCATCTTCTTCGTCTGTATTACTCTGCTTCTTTATTTTTTCTCATGAAAAAAGAATTTAGATTTTGGACTACTCAAATTGTCATGCTGAATCCTCGTATGGGTTAGGAAAGCTTGTTGTAAAACATGACGAGGGGTTGCGTGGTCTCGAGGCATGGTGTCCGCCTTGAGGACTAGAGGTTCTGGGTTCAATCCCAGTAAAGGCAGTGATTTTTTCACGTGGATTTCTAGTAATTTCCCCTAGTCTCTGGGTTGTGAGATCAGAGGCCCGTGTGCATTGCTCCGTGAGTTAAAAAAAATCTCTTGGCAGTTGGAAATCGAAGAGTAGCCTTAGGACGCTGCCAGGGCAAAATTTGGAGTTAACATTCTTCCTAAAGTATTTCAGAATCTTCGCCGGTGCTACAGAGCCTATGAACTGCGCTGAGTTTTTTCGGACTCAGACTTGAGTTAGAAATAGAACGGAGCACTTATGGGTTACTACCTGTGTGCCATGATGTCGATCCATTGTTCCAACCTCAAACCTGAAACCTCAAAACTTGACTAATTAGGGTTCCCCCCTCCCCCTTTTCTAAGCAACGTAAGGTACCCTTTTCCACTCCTTCCTGGTGTACTGGGTATTTTGGGCTAGACCTTAATTTTTAGAATAAACGGCACTTGGTGTGTAATATGATCAGCATCACACCGGTCGCCTTTACTTAACAGGACTGTACCTGGAATCCACCCAAGGCTGGTTCGATCTGGCAGTCAATGTCATTTTTTAAATAAGTCCGGTCTCCGTCAGGACCCGAACCCATGACCTTCCTATCCACAGGCGAGCGTCTAGCGGCTTGACCACGGCGGCTCCCCCTTCTAAGTAGCAATGCGTTTTAATATGAGGCAAGGAACTCACATACAGCGTACAAAAAAGCCAGATCTGTAAAATGGATATGAAGTCAAAGTGCAGGTTCTGGAACAAGATAGTCCTGAAGTGGACAAACTATCAAAACTTTCATATAGAGATTACAGCTAGTGAACGCTAAGAAGAGGAAGTTTTTATGAATAATAAGATGACCTCATTTAAAAAAATTAACATACTTTTAGTAATTTGTTAGTTTCTTCCTATTTCATTGGTATTAACGAACACAAGACCTGATCCGGCCATCTGCACACTAGGTCTCCGTTTACTGATGCCTATGCAGGCTGGTCCACATTGCTCAATGTTACAGGGGTGTCCGGGTCTACTGCTGTAGGGGAGTTGCGGTTAGGGCCAATTGTACATGTTATGGGGTGGTTAAAGGCGCTCATATCCTGTACTATAGAGCACGCGTGCTCGCCGGTAGGAGTGTAGACCGAGCTGACGTCCCTGCCACTTACACTTACGTGTCTCTAGGTTAAGTCGAAGACTGGACATCCAGTCACAGTGTCCTGTCAATCATAAGTGTGTAGATTGACGGAGCTGGGCCTGAGTTCGTTACATGTACCCACACATATTCAGTGGACTTACTGTCCCCACCGCTTCTCCACACCCCCCTCACCCCCATTAAAAATTACTATACTGAAGTTGCATTTTTAGGTAAGTTTTTGAGCAATGTCATACTATTGCAAATCTATTCTTATTATCATTCAACGTTCAGGGCATATAAATAATTATTATTGCGCACTTAGAAAGCGTAATCCAGTTATTTATCCGTGGCGGTGCTCCAGCCTTTAAGGGCCATTGTTTCACTTTACAATCTACAAACACACACAGACATGGTTTAAAAAGCAAGATACTATTCTACCTGATGTTTTTCTCTCTTGTATATCTCTCTAACTATATATATATATATATATACATATATATGTATATTTATGATGCCCGGTTAACACAGTGTTGTGATTTAGGTTGTTGTTCGACTAATAAACAAGTGTCTAGAAATGCATGATGATCTGTGGCCCACCTTATTCGCGTACTAGGAAGACCGTTGGAACATTAGTAACATACCTTATTACTCACACCATGACACAACAAAATGGTAACGAAGGAAATCCCATTAACATCTCAAAACATATCACACTGAATCAAAAATTACCGATACATTGTAACAAGTCCCTGCTGACATTGGGTAAACGGTTCCGTCATGGGAACATCGGTACAGGTGGGGAACATCTCTGAAAGGAAAAGATGGCACAATGTCCGAATAGCCCTACCAATCTCCACAACTTAGAGCTGCTAGCTTGGGACGTGTGTACACAACGACTGATCACTTCAGCAAAACTATTTCTTGCCTGTACCTACCCGTTCTTGCTTGCCCTCATACATTCAGTTTTAAAATATGGCTGTGGGTCCTGTCGTTAGACAGGCCAAAAAATTTCGTGAAGCCTCAAAGATGTGGTTTTACAGAAGAATGCTTAAAATACCTTGGACAGCCAAAAGGTTCAACCAAGAGGTTTGAAATGAGGCGGGAGCCAGAAGACAACTTATCACAGACATCAGAAGGAGACAGTCATAATTTTTCGGCTATGTTATGAGAAGGGGGGAAATTGAACATACTGTGACCACTGGAAAGATATTTGGAAGGAGGGATAGGGGAAGACAAAGAGAGAAGATTCTTGACAGTCTTGTTGCATTGCATGGAGGTGTGTCAGCGCACAAACTGATTGATACCCTCTGCAGGAGATCGCAGATTTTGGAGAGTCATTATCGCCACGCCAGTCGGAAAGGCACCTAAAGATGACGATGACCTACACGTTCAGTACGTGCAAATCAGTTTTGCCAAGCTGAACGGCGAGCAAACGCTACTTAGTACTTGGTGACTACAAGTACTGCGACCTTTACCAAGTCTCAGCTAGTATCTTAAGCTCCTCCCACTCATCAATATGCATGATAGTTAATAATCCGGATTTGACTGAGACATTAATATTCATACACTCATGTATCAATCTCACTTATTTCATTGTCATTCATGCTCCTCTTTCTCTCAATATGTATGTGAAGGCACGTAACACACAAAACATAGCTCCGCTAACCTAACGATAATGCAATCAAAAGAAATCGCCTCCATCATTGTTGCTAAATCCACTATAGTTAGTGTGTAAAGTTAGTGTACTGAGCAACAGGGCTTTATTTAGTAGAAATAGAGGGGCCGGTTCTTACTACCAAGAGTCTAAAATGGTGCAAGTTTTTATCCTACAGTTTCTATTTAAAAGCACTGCAAAAATCATGCCTAAAAAGGTTGACAGCACTGCGCACCGTTACTTACCAGTAAATTAACTTTGGCAGTATCATCAAAATCATCGATCTTACCAATGAGTCGAAAGACATCAAACTAAAGGATATTGTTCTTGAAAAAATCACCAGCTTCACATACTTAGGGAGCAAGATAACCTCTACGGGAGATACAACATCAGAAATAACGACTCGAATCGCGTTAGCATCAAGTGCCTTTAACAAACTGTCAAACATTTGGAAGTCAAGATCACTCAGCAACAACACGAAACTTAAGGTCTTCAATTCCTGTGTGATCCCAGTGCTAACTTATGGTTGTGAGAGTTGGAAATCATCAGTATCAATCGATAAGAAACTAGTCGCTTTCGAGAATAGATGCCTCCGAAAGCTATTGAATGTTCACTGGTCGGACTTTAGGTCCAATACATCTATAAGACAGGAAAACAAAACAAAAATATGTGTCTGATTTTATTAGAATGCGTCGCTGGAATTACATCGGTCACGTACTCAGAATGGACATACAGAGACTTCCCCACCAAGCCTTCATATGGTCACCAGAGGGTAAAAGAAAACAGGGAAGACCAAAAGAAACTCTCCGTAGAACCATCACAAGGGAGAGCTCAACCATAGGTCTCAGTCGCACTCAAGACCTACATCAAGTGGCAAAGAACCGACAGACGTGGAAAGCTATGACCTCTGCCCTATGCGCCATCTTTGGCACAAGAGGAATAACTAACTAACTAAGTATCAAGAAACTCCTCGTACGTTTCTTGGTCATTCCAGAAACGGTATGATGTTCTTGCTGCCTTCTGTAACCGACAAATTAACTCCTTGTACCTGAATTATCATATCATTTTAACCGATTATGATCCATAGTGTCAGCTGACCTCCTTTAGATCTAAGTATTTGTAATTTTTAAAATAAAAATCCCGAGAGAGACAAGGTTGAAGTACAAATGCTTGGGACTGAAAAAGTTAATGCATCCTTAACTGTTTTATAATTTAATCTTCTTGTAAACAATAAGGCGGCGTCCGTCGCTTAGTCGTTGCGAACGCGATTAGTAATGTCGGGTTGGTTCCCAGCTGCCGGGCCTTGCGCCTTGCATTGGTTTTGACAGTGGTATCGAGAAGTCGACCGTCCAGAAACCAATGGCAAACTCATCATCATCATCATCATGTAGCAGGTCCTTTGCAGAACGTCGCTCTGATCACAGTCTGCCTGAAAGAAACTCGGTCTCTCGCCAGTTCTACCGCCTCATGCACTTCCACACTCAAGGAGTCATTTATATCCTGTGCACATCTTCGTGTCGGTCGACCCCTGCCCCTCCTTCGTGGTACCATGCCTTCTGCTATAATTTTTTCCAATCCGTCGTGGCGCTTGATATGACCAAAATATTTCAGCTTTCGACAAAGGATGCTGTTTATTAGCCAATCTTCCATGATGTTCAGATCTTTAAAGATGTCAATATTTCTCATCTTCTTTGTCCAAAATATTCTGAGAATCTTTCTAATGCATTTCAGATCAAAAGCCCCTATTCTTTTTCTTAAGGACTGAGAGATAGTCCACGACTCACATCCGTATGTAGCCACAGGAAAGATGCATGCTCTCAAAATTCTAATTTTTATCTCCTTGCTGGTGCTTAACCATAGACTTTTAAGGCTGTTCAATCTTTGCATTGATATGGCCATCCTCCTTTTAATGACAAACTACTGGACGTATATTTTTCTACAAACAAACTACAACAGTAAAAACATGCTGTGGTTGGTTCTGTAATGTCCCGTAAAGGATACGCAACTAACTTACTGTAAAAATAAAAAGTCTTTGCTGACTCTAAAAGAATGACCGTGGCTTCTAGGGCAACTACAGTTTAATTAGGCACCAGGTACAGTCATGGTGAGGAAAGCCGGTCGACGTGATGTTTACCACATCACCCAACGAGTGTCGATTAGTATGAAACATATAGGTATAGCACTGAAAAATAAAGGGGTGACTGCAGTCAAGCTAATAGCAAGGAAATCCAGTGAAATGTGATTAAAAAGCTCAGGGAAACGGGGATGCTGAAAAAAGTGCACAAAACAACGTTTCGTCCGTGCACAAAACAACAAAAATACGTTTTGTTCGTGCTTAAAACAACACAAAACAACCTTTCGTCTGTGCATAAAACAACACAAAACAACGTTTCGTCCATGCACAAAACAAAACAAAACAACGTTTCGTCCGTGCACAAAACAACACAAAACCACGAATAGGCCCAAACATTGGTTTGTGCACTTATTTTTGCTTTCCTCTTTCGTTAAGCTTTTCAGGTCTAGCACTATATGCCCATACGCCTGAAAGTGTAAAAAATGGGCCCTTTAATTAAAAGATTACGAATATGTTACGCAATTTCTTTTTCATGACATAGTTAACTCATCTCATCAGATGCGTCACAAGAGAATGCATTTCGTGTCCTTATTATTTACATCCAATATATCTCTGTCATTGAAGGTTAGAAAAAGAATTCTTACCTGCTACAGGCATCCAGTTTTAACCAATAGACAATCGGTAATCATGCAAAACAATTTCTTGAGGCCTCAGAGATGTGGTTTTACAGAACAATGCTTAAAATACTTTGTACTGCCAAAGTGGGTGACCAAAGGATTTTGAAAGAGGTGGGAGCTCGAAGACAGCTTATCACATTAATATTTTCGACCATGTTATGAGAAGATGGAAAATGGAACATGCTGTGACCACTGGACAGATCTATGAAAGGAGGGATATAGGAAGACAAGGAGAAAGTATTTCTGACAGTCTTGTTGCATGGCATCAAGGTGTGTAAGCTAACGAACTGTAACATGCTTAAGTAAGCCGCCGATTGTGGAGACGCATGATCGGCAAGGCACCTGATGATGATGATTTGCATTCCCAACAGGAAAGCCGGTTATTTCTGAAGAACTATATAAGGACGACTCGTAGCTATTTCATGGATGATCCGTACAGATCGCCACCGTTCTGGAAGATGATCTACTACTTGTGGACAGCGCCCATCTCTAAATTTTGGGTGAACCAGGTAAAAACCTGTTGTTTTCGGTGTGCTAACAAAACAAAAACAAAACAAAAAATATCTGCTGTACTGACATCTGTCTTGTGAGTGGAAAAACGACTAAGACTTACAGTTTCATTTAGCAGGTCAGAATGTTTTAGCTTCAAAGTTTTTTTTTTTTCATCTGACAGCGCTTTGCTAATGCACTTTCCACAACGGTTTTTCTGGCTTAGCTACTGAGAGTAGCGCTTTGTGCAGCACTGTGAGCTATGTCTTTTCACGTAGAATGCCTTACATTTGTGTTGCAGTTGAGTCGTGGTATTTAATATGGTCGGTAGCTGGTATACGAGAGGGCTGTTGAAATACCTTTTGTAATAGGTTTACTTTTTGTTTAAACTTTGTGTGTGTGTGTCTGGATACTGCAGAGCATGTTAGCTGCCTAATGAGAGCGTTGCAAAAGGCTCGTGCTCCAAAACTCAAACGACGATCGCCAAGAATCTGTGTTGAAAAGTGGAACTTGCGAACCGAACAAATCAGGTAGGGTAAAAGAAACCCTAACCTTAACAGCACGAAGAAAAAAGATGAATCATATACCCATAGAGACCCCTACATATATATACGGCACTTTGTGTGTGATATGGTCAGCATCAGACAATATATATATATATATATATATATATATATATATATATATATATATAAATATATATATATATATGTGTGTGTGTGTGTGTGTGTGTATAATTATATAATTATTCTCGCATATATATATATATGTATATATATATATATATATATATATATATATATATATATATATATATATATATATATATATTCTGTGTGTGTAATTGTGTGTATATGGTGAATCTTTTTATTCACATGTATACATCATGAATCTTTTTTATGCGTATGTATACATAATGTATCTTTTAATGTGTGTGTGTATAAATGTATAGCTTACTGTTAATTTCATTTTTTATTGAGACATCTAGTAAAAGTAAATTTTAGCTCGTGTTATATCTCTTTGAATTTTTTGTTTCCTTTTACTTTCCATGAATAGTAATTATAAAAACAATTATATTTCACCATTACGTCCAACAAGGACAAACCCTGTGACACGGCGATTTATGAATGGCAAGGAAAGTAACTCTCATCCTAGGCCGCGAAACGTAAAATGCACCCACCGATATCTTCCTGGAAACCGTAAATCTTTATGTGGTAGAGACGTTACATTTGTGTGTTCCCTAAATTATTAAATATAGGTATTGGTAATACAAAGAATGCCTCGCGGGCACTCAAAGGCAACTACTAAAGATATGACTCAAGATACGGCAGCGGTGGAGACAAAGATTAAGTAGAAAACGGGATTTTAAATATAGGGTTTTAGTTAGACCCCTATTTCAACCAGGTCTACATTTAGGTTCGTAATGCAGGGATGCCGGGTTCGATCCCAGCTGCTGGCCATGCGCCTTGCGTTGGTTTCGACAGTGGTATCAAGAAAGCCGACCGTCCAGAGGCATTGGCAAACTACTGGACGTAAATTGCCTTGAAAAAAAAGTTGAAAAGTTGGTTCTGCAACGTCCTGTAAAGGATACGCAACTAACCTACATTTAGGGTAGTGGTGAAAACCAAGATGAGGTAGAGGGAGGGGAAAACAATGCTTCAGTTCACTATTTATTTTTTTAACGAATCTTCTGTTATTCAAAGCTGTTTATCATGCTCTACTTGGCACTGTTTGCCCTTGCCTTGATGGTTCCGTACTGTGGCAACAAGTACCTGAACATAGTTTTATGTGGATGGACAGCTATCCGGTTTATCGAAAACGCTTTGCGGACTATCCAATTAAAATTAGTAAGTATCTTTGTTGTAAGACACCCACGCTATGGCTTTGAATTGCTCTATTGACTTCCTTATAATGTATTCTCCCTGACCGGAAGAGTCTATAGACTCTTCTCTGCCAACTTTTGTGGTGGTCAGCCCATGAATTTAGAGAAAACATAATAATAATCAGAGACAAAAACTGACCGTAACCAGAAAATTAATAAATGAAGAAATATGTTTCTTTTATCTATATGATAAACAGCAATGGAGACTGTTCGACATAATATAAAATAAGAATGCCCATAGCAATGCAAAATCAAACAAGACAAAAAGCTTTAAGAAAAATGGGAGCATGCATGCATCTTCCCTGAAGAGCAGTACAGATATAAGCTAATGACTATCTGACAGTCATGGAGGAATTAAATTGGGATTTTGAGCTTAAATGATTCATAAATATTTTTAGAATACAATGGACGTATAGGAAAAGTAATAATAACATTCTAAACGATCTCAGCATCAAGGAATATTGGCTAGTAAAGAGCATGTTGTCTTGGAAACTGAAATATTTTAGCTATATAAAGCTCTACGTGAGAAGTGAAGACAACAATAAATCAAGACATGGTGCCAGGAAAGAAGTACAGGGCCGACCAAAACGCTGATGGGTAGAGAATATTAGTGACATCTTAGGTAGAAAGGCGCACGATGTTTAATCATTCTCTCGTTTTTGTTTTTATTTTTTCAATTGGAGAAATTAGTTTCGTTTTGCATACGTTATTGTTGGTATACATACAAGTTTATGGTGCGGTTTGAGTACTCTACCGAGGGTACCACTCTGTGTGTGTGTGTGCCTTGTGTGTGTGCCATGTGTGTGTGTGTCTCTGTGTGTGTGTGTGTGTGAATGCATGCTGAGAGCGACATTGTGCAAAGGACGTGCTGTATGACAGTTATGAATTGGTTCTTTTCCCCAGAAATACCCTACATTTGATGTAGCCTGGTCTGTGTTCGGACTGCTAGCAGACATCTACATATTTTCTGTGAGTGCTTTATTGATCTTCCAGCAAATACATGACCGCACACCTACAGTTGTTCACAGAAACCTTGATTACAAAACATACAAGTTTCTGTTGTCTTTGGGCTTGCTTTGGGTGTTCTTCCGCTCATTGAGATTCATCTTGCCAATCAGCCAAGACTTAGGACCAATGCTAGTGAATATTTCAGAACTGGTAAGCCTGATAAAATACCTAATGTTACATTGTGGGTGTAGTTTTTATGGAGCTTTGGAAACTGTCTTTGTGTATGTTTTCCTATTGGACTGTATGTAAGATAATGTGCATTATGTATCAAACATTTAAACAACTATCACACACATATAGACACACAAAAGATACATGCACCAACACACACACACACAAACACACACACATACACACACAGTTGTACATGTTTGCTTTGGAATACGTCCTGCTTAGACACGACACATTACTTGCTATACGCCATATTTCTAAAATTTGACCCGCATCTTAGAATTTGTCACTAAAAAGAGTTTCTATGTGAACCTTTCTCGATACAAAGCCTTGAATATGTCAATGACTTTGCAGAGATGTACAACCTCGACAAAGCCCAAACAAGCTATACTATTATTGTCTGGAATGCCCAGAAAATTGCTCCTTTCGTAAACATCCTGAGGAAAAGGCAGAAGCACAATTTATTGCACACATTTGTTTTACTAAAATGCAAATATGATGATCCTCAACCAGATCCTATTAGTGAAAAGAGATTAGGTAATCGACTTTTCTCAGGAAGTTAAAGTGAGGTAAATTTTTTTTTTCTACTTATCTAATTGCTGTTTTCATCATTTTTTGGCCATGTTATGAGAACAGGAAAAATGAAAAGTGTTGTGACCACTGTTAATATCTGTGGGAAGAAAGATGGAGGAAGACAACGAGAGAAGATTCTTGACAATCTTGTTGCATGGCATGGAGGTGTGTCAGCACACGAACTGATACATGCTGCAGGAGACAGCAGATTGTGGAGCGGCATGATCGCCCAAGCAAGTCGATGTGTGTTCTAGTTTTGGGCAGTATATAGATTATTTTTCACAACCCTCAATCATAGGAAAAAGAAGTTTCTTTTGGTACACGTCTTGTTTGGTATAATCTAAGGGTCTGAAACGGATTAAGCACTATGCGAGGGTACCACTCTGTATATGTGTATGTCCACATACCTCATGTAAGAAAATTATTTAACCTTGCAATGACGTCACTTGCTTGCGAACGTGGAAATTTTGTATGTTTAATTAATTTTGGTTTATTAAATTAGAGTAGGACCTTGTTAAATCAGTTGCAGTAGTACCCCAAAGTTCGAACGCTTCAAAATTCGAACAACCAGAAAACCTAACGAAATTATATAGCATATTTAGCCTGAGAATTTGAACGCCCAACTGACAACTGAACGACTGGCACGTGCCAGGCATGCCCTACCGACAGAGCTGCAGCATTTTTGTTCATTTTCGTATGCTGTCGAAACGGTGGACTCTCAGCTCGTCACCTCGTACGATTTCTACAGCTACGTTTACTTTTACCAACAGCAGAAGAGAAAAACTGCATAAGGAATTTTTTTAGGGTTGAAGTTGAGGAAGTTGGAAGTATTAGAACTGCTGAAATCCAAGAGATTTGAAACGTGTGGCCAAAACCCTAAGAAGATGTTTACAGGTGGCACCCTGGTAGAGTCCTAGTTAACTTGTATGCTAACTTATTCAAAATTTCCAATCAACATTAAAAAAAAAACAACTTAAAATGGTCGCAAACAATAAAGTACCTTGACACGCTCGTCAAACAAAAAAAAACAAAAAACAAAACCGAGCAACCCTAAAGTCTACAAGTGTTGAAAGTTGAATGTTGCATTGAGAATCGACATCACAGCATTCGGGACACTTCCATAAACGCTCAGTCCCCATCTTCAGCAGCAAGTGAAGCGTTCCAATTCCGATGGTAACAGTAACCGTCTGATTGTTTATCTGTTGATCCTTCCCCTGAATGTTGAGCGTCGGCCAGATTCCCTGGTACCTCTTCGCAGCGCCATTCTCCTTATACCGAACTGATAATTTGCGCCTCCGCACTTTTCACTCGCTCACTATATGACTACCAAATGAAAGACCAGAAAGGATTCCAGATGATATCGTGAAAGAGACTCACATTCCAAACAATAATTTTCTTAAGTTTCACTTCTTCCTCCTACTTCTATATACTGTGTGAAGGTACAATCCACAATTACTCGTTATAAACGAATGACGAGTATATCCTTTTTCTTCATCACGTTCACCAGCTGTAAAATTTGGCGGAGAGTTCCTGCTGTTCATCCACCTGTAGACTTGTTTCAGAACGTGAGTGTTGTGTGCACATCCGTTTTACACATATGGCTTTGTGACTGTTGACCCATTGCCTCTCAGGCAGAGGCACTCCGACTTCGCAGAAAACCCCCAGTTAGTCGACTCTAACTACAAGCTTCTTCCATGCATCTGACGAACAACACACGGCGTTATTTCCCTTCTTTGGCCAGCTGAGAAGCCAGTCAGAGTAATCAACACAAGTCAAGCCAAGCCAAGGAAATCCACTGAATAATTCGCCCGTTTGCTCTTGCCGGTTTTACTGTAAGAAGCGCTTGATTCGACAATTAAAATTGTAAAAATGTATAAAATCTGGAGCTCATAATAGACGTCTGTTTAAACAGCTTTGTAAAGATACGAATGCTGAAGTACAAGGGAAACATAACTGGGAGTATGTTCTTATATTGAAGATGGTTGAGACGTATCCCTTACATGCTTACCTAGTAGCTCAAATAATCTCAAGTAAAGTAATAAAAGTCCAAAATGAACACAATCCAAAATCAAATGAGATCGAGACCAGAAAACGTCACCACAAATATAGCTGAAAGGAAAGTGAGCAGAAATGTGAGCGGACCTAGCTGAAAGTGGTCAACGAAAGAGAGTTTGAATTTGAAAAGTTCAAAAAGTCCTAGTATGGGATGCAATTTTTAGTCGTTGAAATCCCCACTCTCATTCTCATCGAGGCCCCTAATATAAATTGCCGGTTGAATGGCGTTTTGGAGAATCGTACCCGGGTGATTCTCATCCAGATAGTGAAACTTAGTATCAACGGTTGTATCGCTGGGTATGCGGTCCTGTCAATAAAATAATCTCATGGCATTTATATCCTGCCTTCAAATACGCTAGACCAACGATTGACCACAAGACTAGAGTCCAGAGATAGACGAACAACTAATATTTCCCGCCGGTGTATGCAAACGGTGAACAGAAGGAAAAGAACACATCTAAACTCCAAACTGGCGAAGAACTGTAGATTCAAAAAGTAATGTTTCAGAAAGTGTGTAGCATGCTAGGCAAGTCTGACATGAAGATGTAATTAATGCCAATTTGAAAGAAAACATTACATGGCATCCGCATTCTCCAGAAAACGAACACCAGCGCTATTTCCGTGAGCTGAAAGAAGATTACGCTGCGCTGGGACGAGATCTGTGTTATGCTCCCCTTGATGTCGCCGGTATTCCCCCATGAGGTACAACATGAATTCTTAGATCTGCGGAACGATTCCTCGCAGGCAACTTATTTGATGACAACTACTGCCTCAGTTCTTGTGTTCTATGTAATGGACATATCCATATTTCATCATGATTGTGCTTTGAGTTTTACTCGGAATATTCAACACCCTTTAATAGAAAATTTTGCCAAGAATCAGACTAAATGTTGAAAACGTCATTAGATTGGAAATAACGAAAACTAAACAGCTAGTTTGTAACTTTTCTATTAAGTTTTTTTTTTTTTCCATGATCGCATTAAATATGCCGTCTATTAATTTATTTTACTTGAAATGTTGCCGAAATATCATGTTTCGACGCATCCGAGGCTCAAAATCGCTGCGAACCGCTTGCCAAAGATGACAGCGAATGTTGTCCTCAAAGAAGACAGTGGATTTCCGTGAAATAATTTAGTCGTCACAGTCACAACAGTTGGACAGTAGTTGTGGTGCACATAGCTCGTAGTCCGAAAACGTCCCCATAAGATGTTCATTTGGACATTATAGAAAACTTCAGGAGTGATCGATTCCACTCAGATGCAGATGCCATTGCAGCGTCTGCCAGATGGTTCAGTGAGCGACCAAATCAATTTATTTGAGTCCTCTCCGCAAGCTGACATTACAATCTGTAATTTGATACGGTAGATCTGCGCGTATTTATGACGAAGTTATGATCCAAAAGGGAGTCGCGGTTGTGTAGCGGCTAGATGCTCGCTAGCAGAACCGAAGGTAAAAGGTTCCTATCCGCATTTGGTCGAATTTATATTAAAGTGTATCCCCTCTGTCCTGTCATCCATGTCTAAAGTGGGCACCAGGATTTGTCCTCGAAAATTAAAGTGGCCGGGTTAATGTTAAGCACTTTATTTTATAGAATATTGATTGGTCTATGAAATTAGGAGTGTATATGCCTAATGCGCCAGTGGTAAAAAAGAAATAAAAACTGCTCCTGTAACAGCTGTAATGACAAGTCTCACTCCGCGAAGGACATTTGTATGCTGACATTACTGTCAACTAGTGAGAGGTTGCGAGCTCATTTAGAGAGAGAGAGAGAGAGAGAGAGAGAGAGAGAGAGAGAGAGAGAGAGAGAGAGAGAGAGAGAGAGAGAGAGAGAGAGAGAGAGAGAACCTCATAATGGAACGTGGACAGGAATCAATTAACTGATTTACATCATTTTGAAATTAACCCCATCTACCCCCTACCCTTTTTCCCTTTCCCTCTCCCCCTCCCCCATTTTGCAAGCATACATATTATTATAAATGTATGCCTTTATTTACACAGAGATGACCAAAAAAAAAAAAGTATGCATATTAATTGTCCACCAGTGAATTGCATAAAAATTTTTATGGAGCTTTTTGTTTAAAAACGCCAATTCTAACTTGACAGATTTAGCCATATTTCGATCCACATATGGTAGCTATGTGTGGAATTCCAGTGAAATGTGACTAAAATGCTTAACGAGCTATCCTTCGAATAACTGCCACATATTATGGCGGCCACAAAAACACTCTAACAGGGCCTCAATCACATGTTAATTGCGAAATTCCGGCGACTTAAATTGCGCACCTCTGGCGACTTCCGCCACCGCCGATGAGTATCTCTCACGCCGCTACGCGTGGCGTGGAATTCGGCTAAATTAGATTGCTGGGACTCACGAGCAGCAGCATCCACATCTTCTGCAGCTTTGCTTGTGAGTCCCAGCCATCTAATTTAGCCCCAATCCGTGGGAGATACTCTCGGCGGTGTCGGTATAGTCGCCATAAGTCCGCAGTTTACATGTGACTAATGCCCTGTTTTTGGCCGCCATAATATGTAGCTGTTATTCGGAGGATAGCCGCTTATCGAAAAGAGGATGCAAAGAGTATTTGTTACCGTTGTGTAGTAGTTCATTACTTGTTCGAGAAAGTCTTCTGACAGAAAAGTTGTTTTGTGCCTGATTTTTCTGCATCCCCGTTTCTTTAAGCTTTTTAGTCTCATTTCACTGGAATTACTTGGTATTAGCTTGACTGCAGTCACCCCATGTTTTCAACGCTTCTAAACTATGTGTGGTATGATGATTATAAAAAGAAGACGTAAACAGCATAATTCTAAATAGTTATTTTAAACACAAAATATATATATATAACACACAATAAGTATTTTACGTTGCTCTGCTTACACAAAGTTTTGACTGCAGGTGATGCAACTAGTGGGCACAGTTACAGCAGAACATGAGATAATCATCGTCATTTAGCAGGTAAATTGCAGAAACATCGCTCTCATCACAGTCTTCCTGAAAGAAAGTTTAATTCTCACAAGTTCTTCCGTCTTGTGAAATTTCCTCCCAAGATGCCACCTATATCAGGTGTTCATCTCCGTGCTGGTCGGTCCTTGCCCATGTTTCCTGGTACCATGCCTTCTGCTATTATTCTTTCCAATCAGCCAGATATTTATTGTGTGATATATCATTATAACATCCTTCATCATAACTGATTACTCAACAGACACGCAAGGATTTAATCAACTGGCTAATGTTGTGGCTTGTGTGCGCCATTTCTGGAGGTTTCGCTATTAATGCAGTTGTCTACCCTGCCCAGTCCGTCAGCTTCACCAATTTCCTGCGTTCCCAGATGAGGACATTTCTGGCCATTTTTCTGACAGAAGTCGACGATCTCAAAGGTTGATTAAATGTTGCGTTTTTAAATGGACAATTATCTTGCATGTTTTGTTGATTTTACTTTCAATGTTTCAATTTTGATCTTACCAAAGAATAATACAAACAAGCAAACAAGGTAGCCCTACTGCGACAGATACAAATTGTGAACCTTTTCTCGAAAAAAATGGAGAAGATAGTCAATGTGTTTATGTTCATTGCAAGAATGGATAGACTATAACAAATGATGCTCCATTAAGACCAGGCGTCAGCTTTTCCATTTTTTGTGGTCATCAGTATAACCTCAACAAAATTACCTATCTAAAATTGCCGCGGGAAGTGCTGATACAGCAGAACGGTAATCTTGTGCACAGTTATAAATGTGCATCTCAAACTCATTTTGAAATTTGTGTCTTTGTCAGTTTTGATAAGCTAACTTTATGACACAAAAACTCAAAACTCATCTAGGGATACGCCTTTAACTAAACACCTGTTCTAGTAAAGTTGTTTCGCCCTAAACAAATTGTGATTGACCTTCCATTCATTCTTGGTGGCCTTTCACACGCGCTAATCCATATGACAGGGTAGTAATGCTGTATGTCTTCGTTGCTATCACCGGCGGTAAACTGTCTTTTACATTACACGATGTTGCCGCTTTTAACGACCCAATAACATCTAAAACTCCCCCTAATCTCAACCCCCTACACCACAGCCTCAGCCTACGTCCCCTAGTTTCAGAATTCTCAACAGTTTCGGTGGGACCCCCCCAAAAAAAAGTTTTGCTGAAGAAAAGCAAGGTTGCTCTCATTGTCGCTTGTCAATGCTGACAGCTGAACTAAATTTATGTCATACTTGAAGTCCGAGACAGCTATAATATACGCAATGTCGCAGACCGCTTATACCAACCAGTACACGACGCGCAATATAGAAGCCTCTGAATATCGAACTCAACGTGATACCTCTGTAACATAGACTAGTGCGTGTAAAAGGTCACTATGCATGAGTTAAGGGCCAACTATGATTTGTTTGGGAGAAAAACGTTACTAGTTCCAAACAACCTTGAACGCAGTCTCAGTATGACTTTGCACAAGATAATTGTGAAATTACTTAGTTTTTCTGTAACCCTATGTTGTACCAATAACATGCTTATTAATATTGTTTTGCGAAACATATGAAAGTACTCTTTCTAAAACTCTATCAAGAAGCTTTCATTATTAAAATATATATGGAAAATAATTTCAAAAAGTTATATATAAAAAGTCTGCTCTGTGGCTAAGTCGATGCAAACGCTTCGTAATGCCGGGATGCCAAGTTCGATCCCAGCTGCGGGCCATGCGCCTTGCGTTGGTTTCGACAGTGGTATCAAGAAAGCCGACCGTCCAGGAGCATTGGTAAACTACTGGACGTAAAGTTGCCTAGAAAAAAACACACACAACAGCTAGGTGCTGTTGGGGTTGGTTCTGCAACGTCCTGTAAAAGATACAAAACTAACATATATAAAAAAAATTCCTAATGTCATGGATGCGTGGAGTGAGCATACCAAACTTCATTACGACAGGTCCATTATTTGCCAAAACAATAAAATCTATTAATTTTCATGACTGGATGTACGGGATATACCATTGGAACTGGCTGGCTGTGCAACACAATTTTACATACTCGTGCATACAGAGTGTTACTATGAATGTGGGATATCGAATCGAGACTAGCATTAACCGACAACAGCGGCCCATCTTGCCCATTTACATTGCAAACAGGCATGACCCCTTGAATAGGCTAACCACCCGCCACCCGCTCTTCGTTGTCATAATTTCTTTCGTTATTGAAAAAAAAAATCCATAGCACCATTTGTCTGGAACCAAATTATACTACTAAAATATGTTGTCGAGCCAGTCTTATTTAAAAGACAACGATGTGCTAGCCATTGATTTACATAGGGCCATTCTAGTGGTCGAGGCAAACCTAGTGAAACCACTGTTAATATGACCTGTCATGTAATAGAGGAGGTCGACCCAGCCTAAAATGGGTACCAGGATGGGCTGTCCTGGGAAAGTAAAGACAGCCGGCGTAATGCTGACCACATTACCCACAGAGTGCTGATGGTCTGTGAAAATATGGGACGCTCTGCCGATGCGCCGAAAGGCGTGAAAAGGGATCTTTACTTTCTTATGTAATAGAGGGAAAGGATGTCATCAGTACCAGAGGGTTATCGCGCAGACGATTATTACTATGATAAGTAAAGGGACTTTTTTCCACACCTTCTGGTGTATTGGACATATAGTGCTACACCTATATTTTAGGGACCAATCAGTGCTTAGTGGGAGATTTTGTCAAAATCACGCCTGTTGTCTTTACCTCCCATAGCTATACCGGGTACCCACTAAAAGCTTGGTGGACATGAGAGCCAAGGTCATTTTTTAAAATGTCCAGCTTCCTCAGGAACCGAACTCACGACCTTCCGATCCTCTTGGAACGTTTAGCTGCCACCCCGTGGCAACTCTATTACTACGATGAGGCTGTTACTACTGTGTGTACCTATCCAGAAGATGCAAATGTTTAGCAGGTAGGGAGGAGATGTCTAGCATACAGCTTGGATCATGGTTTACTAAAGGACACGATGTTTTCATAATCACTCTAGTGGATGAGCTATTGAAGATGAGATTGGAACACCCATGAGTCTTCCCTGTGTGCTCTAATGAATGTCCTCACTAATCGCTGAACCGAATGCACACAGAGAAGGATTTCGTTGGTTACTAAATGTGTTACTTTCTCTCCCCAGGGGACATAAGCTGCTCTCCACTGTACGACGCCCCCGAAGTCTGCTGTACATGTAACGGTATGTGGCTTTCACACCAAAAAAAATGCTCTTTTCAAAATTTATTAGTTAAAAGTGTTTTTTTAAACGGATGTGTCTTACCCGTTCCCTCAGCTGTTAATCTTTAGCCACTTAGAGATGACATGCAACGATGTTTCATTTTACAATACACACATCAAATACCGTAAAGGCACACTTAACAAATTTTTAAAAATAAATATTTGTTCTAATACTTAATATGGCAAACTACTGGACGTAAATTTGCCTAGAGAAAAAAGACAACAGCCAGGGGCTGCTGGGGTTGGTTCTGCAACGTCCTGTAAAGGATACGCAACTAACCTAGTAATATTTAACACCGAAGGGAGTCATGGTGCTCTGCCGATCGGAAGGTCGTGAGTTCGGGTCCTAGCGGGAGGCTGAGGTTTTTTTTTTAAATTACCTTGACTCGCAGGTCGATTCAACCTTAAGTGAGTACCAGGTAAAGGCATGGAAAGTAAAGACGGCCGGCGGGATGCCCACCAGATCACCCACCTAGTGCCGTTTGGTCTATAAAATATAGGTCCAGCCCTGTATACCCAATACATGTGCAGGAGCGGAAAAGGGAACTTTACTTTTACTTTTTACCTACTACCAAAGAAGTGCAACTACAAAACTAAACGCGCGCGCTCACACACACACACGCGCACACGCACGCACGCGCGCATGCACACACACACACACACACACACACACACATACATACAAAAGATTTCAGAGAGTATTCTTATTAAAAAGCATTGCAAATAAGTATAATTTCATTGGTATGCAGGCATGCCTTAGAGAAGCACATATGCAAACATTGCTACAGAATACTCGATAGACACTTGAGACATAATTTCACTATAAGAATGCACTATATTGCTCTCTCCCCCCCCCCTCCTTTTTCCTCTCCTTCTCCTCTTTCGTTGTTAATGTTGTGCACAGAGTGATGCACATCAATAACAATGATACAAAATATAAAAGCAAGTCTTTTTTTTTTTTTTTCTAAACGTTATGGAAATAAGATGTCTGCTACCTGTTTACATATATTGAATAATAAATGTGATTTAAAAAAAAAATATGTACAATGTTTTTAAAAAAGTTGAATATGTTATCTACACATTAACAAACACCTATGTACTTATTTATTTTCAGTTTCGTCAATTTCACGTAAGTATGTGTTGCTTTGTAATAAGTAGTGTCTTTTCTAGTATTGACCAATACACATTCGATGGCGTTGTAGCGTAGGTTAGTGGCTCAACTGCGGCCTCAAAGGTCTTTGCCTCAAGTACACAGTCCACTCTGACATTCAGCTCTCGTTGGATCATATGATCAAGATGACTACGGCTGCTTTACTTTCCAGCACATTTCCCGGTACCTATGTTAGTTGGCATTTCGTATCGGGAGACGGCCCAATAACACTGATGTATTTCTTTGAACAAGTGTCTAGGACTTGCTACTGTTGGAATAACTTCCATAATATGATTCTATGAGTTATTCGACGTTAAACTCTGAGGTGGAATTTCAAGTGGTTGAGGGTAGTTGTGTATGTTCAGTTATGACAACAGCAGAGTTGTTTATTGAAATACATTAGAACTGTGTTGAGATGAATTCCAAAAGGCCGCAAAATAGAGAGTTTATGTAAAATATTTGGGCTAATCGATTATTAATATCGACAATAAACCCTTAATTGGACCAACACTTTATTCATAATAGCCCTATGCTCTTCTTCAACAAGTTCTTAAGGAGGCTGTGATTTTAATCCCTTGTCAGTCGGCAAACAAAAAGAAAAGCAAAAACCTAAGTGTGATTTAAAAGGAAAGTCGTGAAACTTATTGTTCTGTCTGAGCTTTCAAACCAAGTTACTTATACCACGATACTTATTCCATACTGGCATTTACAATCCTTTAAGATCGGCAGTGACCTATTCAAGAAGATAATTCTTGCTAAACTACTCTTTAGGAATTTTAGCGAGTTTAGTGAAAGTACCAAGTATAATATAACAATCGTTGCTTGATTTGGAAAAGGATTTGGTTAGCCTTAGAAACCGTTGTATTATTTGACAAGAAGATGATGGTTGTCTCTATCCAGAGCCCGCCTTTCTAGAACGTAAGGGACGGACAAACTGCTAACAGTTTCATGATTCCTACGGCTTCTGATTTCATAAATTAGTGCAGTTTTGAGCTAAGAATGGTCATAGAAAGGAGGCATGTCTTTACTTTATACAGACTTTCCAATAAACAACATAACAGATGTGAATATTAGAACATCATTATACGAACTACAACGAACACAGTGAGCCAAAACAAGAGTTCAGATTAAAACGTAACTAACAGACTTTCTTGCGTGTCTGTCTGGAATATGACAATGATGTATGCTTCTTTAAAGCTAAATTCCGCACTCTGACAGTTTTGAAATCTGCACTTAAGCCTGTAACTCGAGGTTTCGGTCTAGACAAAACACGTTTCGTATTTTCGAGTAGAAAGTATATTGACATTTTACTGGCTTCGTTTTTAAACTGCCTGGTTTTTCCCAATCCCAGTCAGTTGCTATGTGTTGTAATACGTATATGTCCCCAAAAATATAACTTTTCCTTTGTAATTGCCTACTCTACGGAGGTTGGCTGCAATCAGGGGCGCAGTTGTAAAGAAAACAAAGGTGGGGATTTGGGTGTTCGGCCTCCAAGGGGGAGCCCTCAAATGGCTCAAGTATTCTTTTCTTTGGGATCACAACAATATTAAAAAATAATAATTTCATTAATGGGCAATTACTATAATAATATTTTTTTATATAATATGTGTATCATCATCAATCAGCAAGTCCTTTACAGACCAGTGCTCTGTTCTCGGTACGCCTCAAAATATATCTTTATCCAGCCAGCACTCCGGCTCCACGTGCTTTCAGTGCAAATGATTCTTTAATGTCCTCTATCCAATTCACGGTGGCCGACCTCTGCCTCGCTATCCACAAACAGCATCCCCCATCATCGTCTTTTCCAAGCCACCATGACACTTGATGTGGCCAAAATAATAAAACTTACGGGACAGGATGCTGTTTATGAACCAGTTTTTCCTGATATTCATCTCGTTTAGAATGTCTATGTTTTTCTTTTCCTTGATCCATGGTATTCTAATAATTTCTCTATAACATATATATTCAAAAGCGTCAATCTTTTTTTTTTTTTCAGTGACTGAGTGAGAGTCCAGGACTTGCAACTGTAAGTTGCGACTGGAAAAATGCATGATCTCAAGATTGTTACTTTAACCAATTTACTAGCGCTTTGCCAAATTTTCTTCATGCTGTTTAATCTCTGCATTGCTTATGCAAGCCTTCTTCTGACGTCTTTCGAGCAGTTGCCACTGTTGTTCACTAAAGAGCCCAAATATTCTAAATATGTTACAGTTTCTATTTCTTTATTTTCGATTGTAAAATGTGATTTGTGTGCTGAATTTACTAAGGATTTTTTTTTTAATTCAGAAAAAGATAAACTTTTTCGCTGTGCTTTTAGACGGCCAGAATTCATTTTTCTCGACCTAGTACACACTTGGAAAGAGGAACAGTATCGTCTGCATATCTGAGTTTTGAAATAGGATTACCTCGAATTTTTAGTGGATCAAAACTCTCACATTTCTCATTGCTAATTTCGTTTCTCATTACATTTTAAGCATATTCGTTAAAGAAGGAGGCACAAAGAATGCAGCCCTGCCAAATTCTTTTCTGCACTTTAAAACAGTCTGATGTTTCACCAGCTACCCTGACCGCTGTTTGTTGTTCGTGGTAAAGAGATTTCATTAAGTGTACCAGATGTTTTGGAAATCCCATGCCTCTCATAATATGCCACATTTTATGGTGTTGCATACAGTCAAGTGTCTTGCTGTAGTCTATGAAACAAGTATGAAGATCTATCTTGTATTCTCCACACTTCTCCATGATGATTCTCCTATTGAAAACATGGTCTCTTTTCCATGATGATTCTCACATTGAAAATATGGCCTGTTGTTCCCTTCAACTTCTAAAACCCGCTTGTGTTTCTTGTACTTCATATTTCGGTTTATTCTCAATCCACCTCGGAATGATTTGCAGAAGGATTTTGCTGGCATGACTTAGAGCTAAAGTACGAAAATTGTTACATAATTTGAGATTTATGCGTATAGGAAAAGCTTAAACATAGGTTGTTTCTTTAAATCGTAAAAATAAGGACGTATGGAGAGTGGGGGTGAGGCAGCCACGCGCCCATCTCCAACACATGTTTAGAGGGGCAGGGCAAGGAATCAAAGTTATTTCGAGACAATGTTCAGGCGTTCCTGACTTCGATGCATGAGCGAGTCTATGGACATATTACATGGTGGTGTCCCGAACTCTGACACTGTTCGGTTCTCACACTAATATCTGAAAAACAACAAGAATGGTCCGTCTATTAACAATCTGTCAAAGAAGGGAGCTGCGGTGGTGTGGCGGTTCGTGGTCGTGGTTTTAATCGTCTGATGGTACCGGTTTTTATTTAAATGACCTTGGCGACCCGGTTGACCATGCCTTGAATGGGTACCAGCTAGAAACCTGAAAAGTGGGGGGGGGGGGGGGGGGGGGACTTTAGCGCAGTCAATAAGCGGCTCGCTACCAAATCCAGCTGCGACTCGCTGCAGCCCGCAGTCGGTTTCCGAAACCGGGCGGTTTCTGGGGTTCTTCCAGCCTCTAGGAAATGGGTACCAGAGTTCACACTCTGGGGTAAATGGAGGAACTTCGCTGCAGCTACAGAGTTACGTTCGAATGGCGACACAGGCGGACAGTTCTTATCAACTGTCCGTACTGGTGGTGGCAGAGCACTTATGGTTTATAACCGTGTGCAATGACGCTGGTTCACGTCTCCCGACGTTACCTTTACCTTTTTACTCTGATCGGTAAAGGCGACCGAAATTATGCTGACCATATCAGCCACTAAGTGACGTCTATACAATATAGGTTTAGCCCTATATGCCCCATACGCCTGAAGGCGTGGAAAAAGTCCTTTTTTTAAAATTTTGTACATCTTATAGAAATCAAGTCTGCTACGTCAAGGATTATATTGGGAAACTTCTTATCCTTTTTCTTGGCGTTCACTGGCTGTAAAGTCTGGCCGAAAGTTCAGATTGTTCTTCCACGTCTGGACTTTAGACTTGCTTCAGATTGTGTGTGTTGCATGCTCTGCCGTTTTACAGACCTGGCTAATTTGTATAAAGACTGCTGGTTCATCACCTGTGATGCAGATGTACTCCGTGTTTGAAAGAAATACACATTATTACTCCGCTTTTACGACATGCTTGTTAGCGGAGGAGTGGGTCTAACCCACCCTCCCCCTTCCCGCATGGGAAGATTTTACTAATTTCTAAGTCACAGATCTACTATGTCTGGTTAAAAAGAATGTATGTTTAATGACTGTGGATATCTTAAAATAAATGTGCGCACTGCAGTTAAAATTGTGTATTACGTCATGTTTCATGAGCCATTTAACCGTTAGTTTAGAATATCACTGCTACATACCGAAGTTTTAGTAACTGATCTTAGCTATAATGTTGTTAACTATCGAAGAAAGAGTATTTTGTTGTTGATCATGTGTTCCTCAACGGTGGCACGTAGTCAAATGTGGTTGTTCAACACTTTATGATGCTTTGTCATGACTCGCAAGTGCTTTATCCTAGTACTGTTAGCAATTTAATAAGTAGAATCGATTGTGAATATAGCTGTTACATTTTCTGGTGGGAAGGGATTGGGGGTTGGGGGGGGGGGGGGGGGAGTGCTTAGTCCCCTAACATTTACTGGGGTTGACGGAGTACTTGAGGTGCCTTAGGCTACTGCGTTCATGGTTCCATTATCAATCGTTTCTTTTCTGTACTGTTAAATGCCTTTATTAGTTTTACAGTTTTCACCGACCATCTGCAGCATATATACGAGAACGCTTGGAGACGTGCCCTTATGTGTCACTGGCTGGCTACCTGCTGGTTATACAACAACTGCTGGTCACGAGACACATATTTTATACTCTCATGTTTGCCATGTTTAGGTAGGTTATACAACAATTGCTGGTCACGAGACACATATTTTATACCCTCATGTTCGACATGTTCAGGTAGGTCATATGTCTTTCATTATTAGTAGCAGTGGAGTAAAGAAGCCTGAACCTACTAGAGTAGAAACGAAGTCAGAAATAGTAAATAAACATGAGAATGGTATTCGTGTTTCTGATCTCGCTAAGCTGTACGCCCTGGTTGAATCTAGGATATGTACGATCATAGACAACAAAGATATGCTGAAGACATCTGGTTTGGCTAAATTAGCGAGTATGGTACCGAAGCAAAGGTCTTAAGCAAGTCAGCAATGGAACCACTTCTAAAGATGCTAACAAGAGAACACAAATACCAGTTGCCCATGTTATTATGGAAAAGAACTCTTCTTCAAAGGAGTATTTATCTTCCACCGCTGCAATCTACCTGGAAAAACTATAAACCACAAAGGCAAGGTTGCACTGTAAATTTTATATTTTATTGTGTATTACACATACATCTTTGAAAAAGTTAAACACTATGTTTCTGGAGAGGACGAAAGGATTAATTTGATTTGCTTTGATTTCAATTCGAAAATTTGTTTCGACTGGCGAACATTTCTGTTTGCGATCGGTTTTAAAGAACGAATTTAGCTCGTGACCATAGTTACCAGTCATCATAGCGCAACGACCACAGAAGCAAAAGCAACAGTATTGGTAAATCAACAGGGATCATTTAGAAAGCTCAGCGCTGCAAACCAACCTCTCTTTTATGTCTACTACCTCCTGTCCACGCTCGCAAAGAAATTGTGGAGCCTTCATCAGTCATGACACTTTTTTCTTCAGCATCATTGCGTCTCTTTGGAAGAAAACACAAACATCAACCCCCCTCCCCACTCCCTTTTTCAGTGGGCAAATAGCACATGAAATATCACTATATTATACACATCATACACTGTGGAAATATACAGCATATTTACTAGTTACTGCTGGGTGAACAGTCGTTAACGAAGGCAGACAGGTTGTTGTAGGGGCGATGTCCTAAGTCCCTTCCCCAGCTAATAATGAGGGTACTGCTGGGGTGACCATTTATTAACCCTCATATAACGCTTCAGGTCAAAATGGACGCTAGGCACGGCTACCTTTTTTTTTTTTAGCCGTGGCAAATGCTTTTGTTTTTCTTCTGCCAGACGGTGGCCGTTATATTTTTGCTCCATTTGTAGACTGGAAGGATATAGTTTCGTTGCCCAGCTTCTGAGTTGAGTGCATGGCGTGACACTGTGAGCTACGTGTGTTTTTCGTTGGCACAGGAGCGGAGCAACTATGGGGTGACCCGTTTGCTATGAAGCTGAAACTAGGATTACCAGATTACAAGATTACTAGTTGATAAAACAAAATCGCATATTTCGCTGCATCTGGTTGGTTGCATTACGGCTATCAAAAATATTCTACTTTTTTTTTTCTAAGAGTTCAATACACTTTCTGTTACTTGATTAATTCCTTACGGCTATGTACTAAGTACGTGGTAAATGCACCACGTGGCTTTCTTGAACTTCCGGTTGTGATTCGTACACTATAATTAAAGAAGAGAATGTTACTTGTGCATCTTAACAGACATCAATAATTTGTACGTGTTTTTCTGAATGTGGATGTAACCCTGTATTGCCAGTCAAAAATTTGCGCATTTTGCTGGTCATCACTATTGAAAATAAAATTAAGAATGCTGGAGAGAAATGATCGAAGCCTACAATATCTATAATAAAGATGGTACTGAAAAGCGTAGCATTTATATTTTGAAACAGCCCCCTCCTCCCATTATGTGCCGCCCCCCTCCACCACCCCCCTCCCACCCAAAAAAAACTGCCAATCACTGCCTTTATTATACCACTTATGCAGTGTAGGCAGATGGGTTTTAAGGCTGGGGATTTAGAGCCTCATGGCTGTTCTTTGAGACATCTACTGGAGCTGTCAGAGCCTCTATGGATTTTGCCCCGGCGCAGTGTCACCTTTGCTGCTTTAATTATTAATTATTCAGAAATGTTTTACTTTCGTTGCCGCTGTATAAGCATGGCATTGCATTTCCCTCTTCTAGCGTAACAACAAACCGCACCAAAGAACGATCAGTGGAAATTTGGAAATTTCAGTTTTACCTTATGGTAGCAGACTTTGAAGCCAGGTCAGTTCTTTAAATTTTGCAAAATGCTTTCTTATTAGGAACACTATAAATAACGTGTGCTGTTTTTCTTACGCTCTACAATTTGCGATGAGTGCGTCACGTATACTTAATATTGTCTCTCTTAGTGTGGGGACAATGCGTCTGATTCCAGCATGCAGTTAAGTAAGTTTATATCGCCTACATAAGCTGAATGAATTTAGGCTGAAGTTGATAATATTTGGTAAAGGTGCTTTACACATTTTTTTTGTAACGGACATCAACAAACACTCTATGGATATCATTAAGTTTAAATAGGGTTACTAATGCGATGAATTCAAGTAAATAAATATGCAGCAAAAATGTTTTAAGCAGAACATTTATACATTCCAAGAGGCAGGGGAAGACCAAGAAGAAGATGGATTGAAAGAGTCACGGACAACTTGAGACTTTACAACATCACGGCATATGAAGCGACTGAGCGCGCCCTTGCTCTGTTGCCGATCATCTGATAGACTGCGACGCCTAGCGGCACAAGCAGATTTTGACAAAAGAAGATTTATGCATTGAGTGTATTCACTTTTTAAATTAGAAAACAAAAAGTAAAGCTCCCTTTTCCATGTCTTTTATTGGGCATATAGAGCTAGACCTATATTTTTATAGACCAATCGGTTCAGGATGGGTGATATGGTCACCATCACGCTGGAGGCCTTGACTTCCTAGGACTGCACCCAGTACCCACTCAAGGCTGGGTCGACTTGGGAGTCAAGATCATTTTCGAAAAAATGCCGGCTCCGCCAGGGAGCGAACCCACGACCTTCCGATCCCCAAGCGAGCGTCTAGCCGCTACGCCACACCTTTTAAATACGGCTATGTAATTAGTCACGTAATATTTTCAGAAAAAAAAAATAATCAAAGTAATCTATACTAGAATTAAAGAGGCATTTATACACTCATGGGAGAAAGACAATCTGTTTTAGAAGTAGAAAAAGTCTGTTTAAAATAATTACCCTGAGATGTAGTCTATGAGAACACACTGAGAAGCAACAAGCTCTCATCCTGAATGTTACTGGTTTAAAGTAGGCCGTTGATAGCTTACCCAGAATTTCACAATGGGTAATGCTCGAATCCGTCGGTATACCAGCTAAGATAATACACATTATCAGGCATTTATACGATAGTTCACAATTTGCAGTCTTCTTCTTCTGCCTTTCTAGCGTCTAAAGGCATAGGAGCCTCAACCAACTCACCTTAAGTCGTGTTATTCTTTGCTATCGCCTGCAGCTCTACCCATGTCCTCCCCATCTTTTTAACTTCATACTCCAGCTCCCTTCTCAATGATTTTTAACCTTCCTTTATTCTTTTGCCCCTGTGGGTTCCAAAGCATGGACATTCTAGTAATATTGTTTTAGGTTTTCTCAGCGTGTGTCCCATCCAACGCCAGCGTCTTTTCTTCACCCCTTGGTCCACTGGGGTTTGTTTAGTTCTCTCCCAAAGCTGTACATTCAATGTGCAGTACACACTGAAAATTGTTGTAGTGCCTGGTTTTAGGTGGAATCTGGATAAAAACACGGCTCCATTCTATGTCTCTTGTTATTTAGAGTAGCCATTGATTGGGTAATGAAAAAAAAAATGTCCCTAAGGCAATGCTGACATTGATTGGGTGGAGAATAGACAAAGGGAAGATCTGGACTTCGCAGATGATATTGTTCTGTTAAGTAAAAACAAAGACATGTAAAGAAAAACAGACGATTTGTCGTCAAAAGTATCAAAACTAGTACTAAAAATTAGCTATGACAAAACAAATATATTCAAGATACCAACAACATATCATGTAGACGTGCAAGAGAGATAACCAATAAATGTAACGGACTATCTCCCCTATTTGGGTAGCAGTTTAGACAGTGAAAAAGAGATAAGAGCTCAAAGTTAGAGAGCCTAAAGACCAAACTACGAATCTTCAATTCCAACGTTATTTCAATTCTTAAAAAAGGTTAGCACAAGTTGCAGAACAAGCCAAGATTTGGAATGAAAGTGAAATGCATTTGAAAATAAGTGTCTGAGAAAAATCATAAACATACAGTTAGTTAGTTAGTTAGTTAGTTGGGTTATCCTCATTGCACTCCGGACATGTCCATAGGTGCTCAGATCCTCCCCTCAGTATGAACCCCAACGTCCGATGGCTAATAGTACCAGTTCTATGTTGATTAACAAGTCTTCTGGCGTAACTGGTGTGCGTCTCGTTTTTTGCTGTGCCGATCTTAATTCCCAAGTCTGCCATTCTGGCGAGTGATGTGGATTCACTGCCACCAAAGTCGTCTATCCTTCCCATTTCTCTGAGGGCATTGATAATATCAGCATGATCCATAGGCTGACCGTCGGTAGTGATAGCGGATCCAGCCAACCTGTCAGCTCTTTCATTTCCATCGACGCCTGCGTGTCCCGGAACAAAAATAAAGGTGAGTCCACGGAATGTGGACTTCTGTAATGATTCAAGCCATTGTCTTCGCACTGAACCTGCCTGAACCCTCCGGATCATACTCATTGAATCACTGAGTATACACAGGCGGGTGTATTTTTGTGTTTCAAGCCAGGCAAGTGCTTGTGTCACTGCCATCACCTCCATCGTCATGCTGCTGGTTGTCATGGAGAAGGCGCCGTTGGCTTCTTTGACTGTTCTGCCCGCTGAGCGTGCTGTAAATGCCCATGCGCTTCTTCTTTGGCGTATAACGGATCCGTCTGTATAGATTATTGCATCTGCTTCGTCTGAATTTTCACCATTTTCATAAACATACAATTATAGGTTAGTTGCGTATCATTTACAGGACGTTGCCGAACCAACAACAGCAGCCCCTGGCTGTTGTGTGGTTTCTCTATGCAAATTTACGGCCAGTAGTTTGCCATTGCTCCTGGACGGTCGGCCCCCTGATACCACCGTCGAAACCAACGCAAGACCCATGGCCTGCAGCTGGGATAGAACCCGGCACCCCGGCATTACGAAGCGTTCGCATCGACTAAGCCACAGAGCCGACAAACATAAAATAGGATGCATTAAAAAAAAAAGAGTGAGGGGATCAGAGAAATATCTAGAAAGTATCTGTGTCGAATTCAAAGACAAACAAATGTGGATAAAAAATATGCACACTCGAAGATGAAAATGAGCAAGTAATTACCAAAGAAGCACTGAAATAAGAAACAAACATTCTGAAAAAAAGACGTCCAGAGGAATCAATAAAATTTATATTATTACGAGAGGCTAAAACTGCTGTATATACTCCGTGTCAGAGATAGAGAGAGTTTGTGCAATAGAGCAGAGAGGGGAAATCGAATGCGAGCCGTATACAACGTCTAATGCACTAGGGATCATGGTGATTATTATTATTATTTAAAATTAGATGTTACCTGGTAACCGATGATAGATAGGCTAACTTGAATGTACCAACATCTACTCAGCAAAACCTGACACTGAAGGAAGGAGCAGTGAGCCTAGAGAAAACAAAAAAAACAGAAAGATTATGGGGGTTGGGGGGCTATTTGAATATGGGAACTGGTGTAAACATTTTTTTAAATATATAACAGGCATAACTCTACTTCAGAAAGTCGAACAAGAAATTATGTTACATTTAGGTTTGACTAAGAAATTATATCATCAGATCTGTCTAATCAAATGACTGGGTACAAATCAAGATTTGAAATGACCTAATGACCATGATGATCGTATGCCTGTAATTACAGCTGTAACGTCGTTACAGTTAGTTTTATCGACGCAGCATTAGGCAGGTGTTTAACACGTATATCAGAGAAGGCTAAGATTACCAACCATTATCAAATTACTTTCAGTTTAATACTAAGTATGTTAATAATCATCGTTTCTCCTAATGTACTGTTTATACGTCACATAGCTTCTAGACCACTGTGTTCTATTATGCTCAGTCTTTTGGATGTCATTTCTGTATTAAGTCCAGAATCTTTGACGTCTCGTGCATCAATTTTTTTTTTTTTTTTTTTTGCTTGGGCCTTGTTGTTTACCAAGTCTATTTATTTCCAATGTCATCGGCTGTTTTGTGGTTCTCTATTCTCTACTTTGTGGCCTCCTTATTTGTCTTGTACCCGTTGATAGAACACGGGTAACTTGAAACCTTGGGAGCAGATATTGGACTGAGCTTGTCCTCAGACAGAAGATGGTCGTTGCCATGGCCTTGTGTCTGTTGTATGGTACTGGTCAGATATGACTGGGCTTCTGTATAACTGTAGTTGACTCTACTTTTTTTATCTGACATCGAATGGTGGGTGGTGTATACCAAACATGACATGTCACATAGTGTCCCCGGTTTCGGACAGATATCGCATTGGGGGGTGGGGAGGGGGTGAACTAGCATTATCATAATAAGTCGAAAAGCAACCTGAAAACTTTGTTTCATTTGGGCAGACCAGGCTATAACCCTTGGCTAGCAGCTGTTGTAGGAAGGAAGCTCCTAATGGCAGAGAGTCCGAGCACAGCTATTTTGATCCGGCAACTTCAGTACGCTTTTTTACAACGTATTGATGCTCCTTTCCTTTGGCAGTGAGGGAACACGGGATCATGATGCATGGGCAACACATTGGTCTCTTCAATACTGCCGAGGCTGTGTACTATAGAGAGGAGGATCTTCCTTCTCGACTTGATATGGGCTATAAAACAAACCGAGCGACATCAGTTACAGATTATAAGTCCCGTTTAATTGGTGTTATGATTCTCAGCATCCAAATTGCACAAAATAACACTGTCGCCATAAAATACCAAAAGGTGCTAACCATGTTCGTAAAGATCGACAGAAAATCAATATATATATATATATATATATATATATATATATATATATATATATATATATATATATATATATATATATATATATATATATATATATATATATATATATATATATAGACATTGAACAGAATCACTAGCCAGCATAGTTACTACTAAGAGGTAAAGTAGTGTCTACAAAGCTTTATACATCAAAAATATACTTCTTAAACGAAAAC